AAAAAATAGAACAACTTTTTTTTTTGGTTTCGATTTTTTGAACGTTTTTCTGCATTTAAAAAAAACTTTACCCCTCTCAGCTTGTCAGAACAAGGCTGTCCTTGCTATCAAAATAAGAGAAGACTTTTTCTGATTTGTTTCAGAAGCTGCCCCCTCCGTGTCTGTGAACCCCCCTTCTGTGGTAGCGGAGAGGGGAGACCAGGTGGTGAGACTGTTCTGCATTGTCAAGTCCAGAACAGACCCAGTGAAGATCAACTGGGTGGCCAAGAGTACCCAACAGTCCAAAGGGTCCTACGGTTAGAATGGTGTTACAGCCAGTGTTTTGTAAACATTACACGACATGTAGTTGTCATATTAGTTGCCTCCAGTTTATACATGAAAGTATAAACTAGTTGTGTCAAATTACAGGAAGTTATAAATAAGATGTCTCAGATGAAATGGAATTTTTTAAGTTATTTCAAATTACATGATATTAATAATTAGTTGTCTCAAATCTAATTACATGAAATTGTTGAAAGATTATGTTTAGATCACATAGCATTTTACGCAGCTTGTAGTTTTTTATAAAAAGTCTGAAAAAGCAAGTTTTTTTCATCTTTCTATGGTTTCCAAGCGTGAACATTTTTTCAATATAATTAGATCATCGAAATTTCTTTTTAGTTTATTTGAATCTACCCGCACCGGAGTTCCATGGATAGTAATCGATTATAATGGAAAAATGTTGTCTAAAATGTTGTCATTATAATCCATTATTGTGGCAAATTTAGACCACGTAATCGATTATGTGGTCATTAAAATCGATTTTTTTCGAAAAATAAAAAACCATTATTATTCATTATAATCCATTATAATCCATTAAAATCCTTTTTTTTTCCAATATAATCGATTATTTTGTCAAGGAAATCCATTATAATCCATTATATTTCGTTAATTAGGCTATTCTATTTTTATTTCTATCTATGTCTGGAAGAAAAAAGCAAGTTTAAAAATGTAAAATTACAAAGTTTTCCTAAAAACATGCAGTTAAAGCAAATGAGAAATTAAAATATAGAATCAGCATACATTTAAGGAGATGGGCAGAAAAAATGGTAAATGGTTTTAACAAACAAAAAAGACTTTTCAAAAGTTTTACAGGATACATAATTCAATCCCCCCAGTAAAGTAGAATTTAAATCTTATGATTTTAACAAGTCTTCTTTGTTTGCAAAAACCATTTATCATAATAGCTGCCAGCCCCGACCAAAAAATTCAAGTTAAAATTCCTGGATTAACAAGAAGGATAAACTGGGTCAGTCATAATCACGAATTAACGTTCCAGGGTCAAGGAGATAATATAAACGTTCCAGGGTACAATATAAACGTTCCAGGGTAAAATATAAAATTACGAAGAATTATTACTCATATTTTGTCATGTTTGGGGCTAACTGCGTTTAAAAGTCATATTGAGGTCGCACAATTTTAAACAATTTTTCTCGAAAATTTTATTTTAAAAAAATGTCAAAAAAACGTATGAAAACATATTGAAAAGAATTTATTCCAAATTAAGCAACTGACATTGGCAACAGTTTTTCTGAAATTAAAAAAAAAAAATTCGCAATTTTTATCGATTATAATCGATTATATTCGGATTTTATTGATTAGAAAAATAGTTTCATTATAATCCATTTTTAATCGATTATAATCGATTTTTATCGAAATTTATTAAGAAAGATCACGAAAATTCAATATAATCGATTATTATCCATGGAATTCCGGTGCGGGTACTTAACAACTTCTCCCCCTCCCTATGGCACCTTTTTAAGAATCTCCACCCCTATAAACAAATACGGTAAAATAGCACTGAGCTTTCTATTGAGAATTCTAATTTTGCTGCATTCAGATTGGTAAAAAAATCGACCATTTTGATCTACTTAACAATCTCCGTCCCTTTCTTGAAATGGGCGGTGATTGTTAAGTAGATCCGTTTATTTTGTGTTTGAAATGTCCATCTTGGTCTCTGAGTCAAACTATTAAAATCTAAAACTAAACTAAGCAAAGTTAGAGAAACATAAAGTTAAAACACGGTGGCGCGACTGCGGCGGTGTGTATATTGCGAGTTGTTTTTTAATGCGAGTTGTCTTTTCTTGCGAATTGACCAACCAATTAATTAACGGATTTACCAACAGGTAGTCATTTTCAGCAATAAGTAAGAGAATTTAAAACACAAACATCCTTCTGTTTTGTGGTGATGCAAGTTTTTTTATCAACAAAAAATCAAAAGAATTCATTTTCTTTGGTTTTCTTCACTTGATAAACTATTCCCAAACTGGTTGTGAAAATAATTCAACTGTATAGAATTCACCGGTCCAATTTGACCTGAGAAGCTATTTTAAAAGTTTGCTCAGTTGAGTAATGGAATAAAGCCAGTTAGCTCTGAAAAAAAAAAGACTTATTCAGGTATGTTTTCGCGTAGTGAATAGTTAACTTGACGTGATCTTAAGAGAATAATCGGTTGTCAAATGCTTCAGCTATCTTGGAGTTGCCGGCGTCTGATCTAACGGAGAAAAAAGACACCTTCACCTGTTTCGCATCAAATTTCTACGGAACCAGCAGCGCATCAGCCATCGTCGAGAAACTATTCTAGCAAAAAACTGATTTTTTTTCAATTATTTCGTTATTTCATTTGCATGATAGTGTTGATTTCAAAAAATTTCCAACCCCATCCCCCCACCACACACACTGGCAAAGTAAATATTTTCAGTCGAAGTAATGAAACTGATTTAAAAAAGATGGTTAGCGACGCTGCGTATAAAATAGTAGTCGGCTTAAACTGCTACTCAACAAATTTCGGGAAGGGCGCGCGGGGCAGGGGAGATCGGGAAGGGGGAGTATTTTAAGTTGATCTTTCAAAATTGCATGCTTACAATTGATTTTACTTAATCGCTGTTTCAGTTTTACTGTTAATCCTTGCAATAAGATGTCATTGAAAACCTCAAAAAGTTTTTTAATGGATGAACACAATTTGGGTCTTTCTCAATATAGTCATCTGTAAAGTATAACTCTCATCCCCCTCGTATCTCGTAAAAGCCGTGCTCTGGATTTCATCATCAGAGTTGGAACCGGGCCTGAATTTGAGGCCCGACCCAGCCCGGTTGGGAAAAACGAATTTCAAGCCCGGGCCCGAATCGGGCCCATTTTTAATGAAAACACGAAATTCCAAGCAAAAAGTAAATTGAAACTCAAATGTCACCTTGTAAAAAAATCAATTTTTAATAAGTCCATTGCTCGCAGCCGATCCTAGCAGTTCGATTTGGCTGACTTTTGCCGCAGAAAAGAGGGCACGCTTGGCTGTCCGGATTTGCCCAGCCCTGTTGAAGTCACGCTCCTTCTGGGCGTTTGTAGCTTGAACGATAAAAGGTGTGAACTTTTTTGGAAGTCAGGCTCCGGCTCGGTTGCTGATCCTAAAAATGAGGCCCGAGCCCGGCCCGTTAAAAGCATGGACCCGGTCCCAACACTGTTTATCGTAGTTAGATAGAAACATTAATTTACTTTCGGAAGCGCAGTGAAATAGAGCAAAATGGCAAGTAATTTCTGTTTATTAATCGCCCGAAAGAAAAAAAGCGTTTAGTTGCTGAGCAACTAAATTGGAAAATTCTGAAATCGGCGAACCTCAAAATTCAAGCAAGCGAAAACAAATAATTGTCAATCGATCTAACCCAATTTTGATACTGCTTCTGCTCCAGTAGGAAAATGAGAACGCTCTCTAAACCTAACGCTCTCACTTCTTCTATAAAAGTTTGTTATTAGTTCTAAGTAATACAGTTGAGTCAGAAGCGAATCTGTAGAAAAACTTATACCAGTTCTTACAATTTTTTTCAAGCTAATTTGTCTCTAATTTTTAAGTAAAAAGATTGCGAAAGTCTGTTTATCTGAAGTTCGAGTCGACCACCGCGAAAAAGCATTATATTTTGGTCTGCCTATAATCGAAGACACTAAAAAGCAATATGATTGATGAGCAACGGTATTGGAAATAATGAACTTGCTGAACTTTGAAAATGCTTTAAAAACACTAAAGAGTTTCTTTCGATATATTTTTTTGTTCTTACTTCCCAACCAATTTTACAGGGATCACTGAATGATAATCACAGGGCTGCCTCGCCTTAGTAGCAGAACACTCACTACAGCTAAAGCTACTCCTTCGTCTAGAGAGGGCGTTCAGCAGTGCCGAAACTGATGAAATTTGAGATTTTTAATTGTGAATTGTCTGCACATAATCATGAATACTGTTTTCTTTGGTAGCGAAACCGAGAATAAAATTTGACAGTTTTCTGAAATAATCGTTTGTTCAGAAAAGTTTTCGTCGCCGCGCTTGGGGAAATTTTGTTTGCTTATCAAGCGTTATCAATTAAAGTAGCCAAATTTCATTCGTTTGAAAATATTTACTTTTCAGTGATTTGGAATGTGGAATCCCTCAGAGGCGAAGGACCGAATGGACGAAAATAAAAACTGCAGATCAGATTTCAGTATTCCAAAATTTGGAAAGAAAGCAATAAAATCCCAAAGAAAATAAACATTACCAGGTACTGACAATTCATTTTGACCGAATACAAAAAACGGCAGAAGTATTCAACAGTTTCAAATTGATATTTACCGCCGTCGAATTGGAACAAGTTTTATAACTTTGAAGGGTTTCGTTATCAAAGAAGCAAAAAATTTCTTCGTTTAAACCCTTTTGATTTAACAGCAATTGATTGATTTTAAAAATTGACTTTCGACTGTTTTTTTGTTTTTGGTTCTTTGCCCATGAATCCTTCGCCCATGCGGTCCTTCACCCATGAGAATATCCCCCATTTACGATGAGTAAATTTTTGGCACTGTTGAACAAAAGTTTGATTTTTGGAACTGTTGTACTTCGGCATTGTTGTACTGCCCTTTCTCGATAAAATTTGCTAACAAAGTGTAAATAAAACAATTAGGCCAAAAATAAAATCTGCATTTTTTAAATAAAATTCAATCAGGCGAAGTGTATTTTTATTTTTCAAGTACGAAAGTCGTTCAGTGCACTTCACTCCTATCAACCGTTTTGTCCAGTGAGTTGTTAAATCTTTCTGGTTTATCGGCTCAGCTTAGCGCCTTCGGCGCACTGCCTCTTCGCTACAATAACGAAGCCTAGTTTCCAGTTTGGGCAGGCTCGCGTCACGTATCAGTATTTGTACCTTTAGGGAATAGCAGCGCTTTGTTCAGTAATAAACAAAACATGAATGCACATTTGTAATAAATGCACCTAATTTTGAAAGCACCTCAATTTTTTCTAAAATCAGTTGAAATTTGACAAACTGGGGAAGGGGGATATATATTTTTTCTCCTCTAGTTTTGTCGAATTTTAAGTTTTGCCGCGTTTTCAGTTGCTTTCAAGTTTTTCTATCACAAAGATACAGAGCGAAGTGGACCATAAGCCCATTAGTTTCAGCAGCAAAGTCGGATTAAGTTATAGACGAACTGAAGAAGCTCAAAGAATACGAGGACACTCCATCCTGTCCACAGTCCCATGTTGCCCCCGATGTCGCTCAAGAGTCCTGTCACCGAATAAGCGGCACTCTCCCACACTTTTTCAAGGCTCTTTTCCATCCCCCCCCCCCTAATTTTTCCTGCGATTCGATTTAGGAAAGCTTTTTTAAAATGATTTTTGATTTTCTTATTTGCTATAAAACTTGCCAGCCTGAACAAGTGAACAAACTGTTCCTACTTTTTTTTCTACAAACAAACTGCCGTATGAAAATATTTTTTAAATTATTTTCATAATATATTTTTTGAGTGGGTGGGAATCTGGAAACGAGCCTCTTTCGTAGCTGTTTCTCTTGTAGTAGACCATAATGCGTGCAAAGTTTTTCCTCAGTTCTCGCGAGAGATCCTCGTTCGAAAAATTGGGACGGGAACGAACTCCAGAGATGAAATTTTGCACCTACTCGGAGTCAGTGCTGTCCGCTTCACTAGTTTTTAAGAAGTTTTTCCACATCACTATCTTCGTTTAAAACAAGTTATTTTTCGGTATTTATCTTTTTATTGCTTTTTTTTCAATTTCATAAATTATGCCACAAATTTAATCAAATAAACTCTTTTTATTCAAAAATAATAGAAAATCGGAAAATTGTTTAATTTCAAAAAAATATGCGTTGAGAGAATTAAAGAAGTTGTGTTAAAAAGTATATAAAAAGTAATTTTACTTTTGACTTTTGATGTAGAACGTTTAATTTTAAACCATTTTCAGAGACCTTTACAAACGGACCATATGTTTTATTGCAAGCTTGAAAAAATAACATGATTAATTAATTTGTATCGGACAAAATTGACCTGAGGTGACTTGGATTTGAGCAGTTGTTCCACTAAGAATGGCGAATAAACGTCACTTGGCCAGGAAGCTAAAGACTCTTGGGTGAAGTAGTTGACCGTATAACACGCATCGGGACACGGGCAGTTCAGCGCCCCTGTTTCCGAGTCGTCTTCAATACTTTGCCGACAGAGACGTTGAGTGTCGTTAAAACTGTCGCAGTATTGTGAAGAGGCTTTGTTCACTTTTTTGTCGTCGCTGAAGTTGATTGAATTCAAGCAGGCATATATACAGGGGCGGATCTAGGATTTTCTCGAGGGGGGGGGGGCGTATTTTCAAAAAATTTTCGAAATTTTTGTCGATCTTTTTCTTTAGGTCGACCAATTTGATTTTCCGAGCTCTTCCAAAAGACCCTGGTTTGGCCAAATTTTCTGCGCCGCAGGCAAAATTTTGAAAAAACATTCCAAAAAAGCGTTTTTAGTCACTTTTTGGAAATTTTGACCAAAAAATCGCATTTTTTCGTCGCGCGCTCCCCCCTCAAAGTTGGTCTATATATTTAGAAAAATTTTGGGGTCCGTCAGCCAAAATAGCATATCCTAAAATAGTTCAAATCCGCCCCTGCATGTATACACGAAGGTGACCTTTATATTAATCTCTTAGTTGTTTCATTTTATTAAAATGCTTTAACCAAATTTTCAAAACACCTACACACAATGCCAATGTAATCAGTAGCAAATTTAGGAGGGGAAGGGGTGGACGCAGACCTCCCCTTCTTGGGCACTGACCCCCTCACCACCCAAAGACTCCTCAAAGTTTTCTCATCTTGAATTCTTAATAGTGCTTGGAAGAGAGCTCTAAAAGTCAATTTTTTCTACCTAAACCCCCTTTAATTGAAAAAAAAATCCTTTTCCAGATAGTTTTTAGTAATTTAACGTCCTCATTTGGTGTTATATACTCTATTTTAAGAAGACAGGAGAAAATAAGTTTTTCTTCGTTATGTGAGACAGCTTTTTCTTCAGCATTTATAAGCCAGATTTGTCTGCTAGAATTCTTGTATAAGACCTGAAATCTTGGTCGTAGCTATCGACACAACCACAACGTAAAGCTAACGCGTTTTGACGACAGTAAAATTGACAGTCCGACAAGTCGTACAACTCACGCGAATCTTTCGTTTTGTTATTGAGGTTCAAAAAATCCGGCCAGGTGTAGCTGCAATTTCCGTACTTTCCGCCCATTTTGTGCAGTTCTTTTCTTCCCAGGGCCATCAGTAGCGCTTTTCCCGCCTCGACCACGGAACCCTGACTGTAGATATTTGGACTCCATTTTGGATGGTGCGCAACCACTCGAACGCCTGTTAGGGGCGCAGTTAAACCAATATACTCGTCAACGTTAAGGAACACAGTCAATTTAAACCCAAAAGGCTCTCCCGTTTTGGAAGAAGTTAGATTTTTGAAAGAACTCGAAGTATTTTCTGACAGAGCCGAGTTGAAAGTAAAGCAATTCCCAAAGTGAGTGTGTTGGAAAGTTTGGAAATCGGTGTAATCACATTTTTGGTGGTTAAAAGAACACTGGATAAGGAAATCTTCGGCATGGAATCCATAGCTTCTCATTAAAGTTTGATCGAAGGCCAGAGCATTACGTAACGCAGCACGATTGTTATTTGAGGCAAAGTAAAAAGAAAAATAGTCTAACGGATCAAAAGATTCAAGGTTTTTAATGTACTCGTTTCTTTTCTGTCGGTAAAATGAAGATTCTTGTGAAATATTGTTGAAAAATTTTTTTCGGCTTTGAACTTGATCGGCGGCATTCCGTTTTGATCTTGTGGCGTCACATCCCAAATAGTCACTTTCGTCGTAGTTGCTTTCCATGCACTCCGCAACGCCATCACACGCAATTGCGCAGGTTTCTTCTGGGCACATCAACGATGGCCAATTACAATGACCTTGGGCAGTTGTCAGGTTAGCATCACGATCAGACTTGATTTGAGCGCAGTCGAAGTCTGGGTTTTTCTCATCACTTTCATCTTCGCAATTTACGACGTCATTGCAAATCCATTTCTCAGGTATGCAAACACCCGTAGACGGGCATTTATAATCGCTGTCACGCTTGCATTGTGCCATCCTATTGTTTTTCGAAGATGTAAGAACTTTACTGGCTAAATAATCATCCAGTAAAGCGAGGTCTTGGTACCGGCGGTCTTGCAAGACTCGAGTTTTCCTCAGAGGACTTTCGTTGCAAACTGTTACAGCTGGGAAATCCAAAGACTCGGAAAACACGACTCGGATACTAATGGTTGTCGGGTAACTCAAGTAGTTTTGAACGAGCGAAACCATTTGTGAAACTGTTAAAGTTAAAAAGCCGACATAAACTAGAGTCCAAAGAATCCCAAGTAGAGATGGCAGTTGAAGGATTTGAGGAGTTGCATATTCGGCTAATTCCTTGACCAGTAGAAAGATGCGATGTTGGGCAACTCCGACCTCTTCTAGCAACTGTTCAGACACCGGCTCGGGAGACATACGTTCCCCTCCACTGCAACATAATTAGACGACAACATAATTAGACGACATCATAATTAAACGACAGCATAATTAGACGACAAAATAATTAGACGACAACATAATTAGACGGCATTATGATTAAACAAAAACATAATTAGACGACATCATAATTAGACGACAACTTAATTAGACGCCGAATACATAATTGTTACGACAACATAATCCGACGATGTAAAGACGACTTTGCGCTTTGCGTATACACGTAAGCAGGCATAAAAAACTAAAAACAAAAACGAAAAACGCTTTCATCATGTATGCAAAAGAGCTGAATTATCGACCAGGCAAGAAAAAATGGAAAAAAACTTGTTTATTTTGATTAGCATCATAGTGAAAGTTATCAGATAGAAGATAAAAATGGAAAACTTAGAAAATAGTTTTATGCCCGAGGCTTTTATATAAGTTTGATGTACTCAGATATTAGTTTTGACAGTTCAGTAAGCTATTTTCAGCAGTTGGAGGTTATTTGTTTTGATGAAACGTTTAAGACTGTGTTTTTAAAACCTTATTACTACGGAGAAATAATATCAATGAAAGATTCGCAAAAACATTTCAGCTTAATTAAAGCACTTCATTTTATCAATTTTTCATTCAATTATTGGCATTGTGGTTGGCCTTGAAAGTCGATCGAAACATAAAGATAGGGCCTCCACCCATACAAACATCTAAAAAAGGTCTCTCTCACGTTTTCTCTAAGTAAACAAAAACATTCAGGGAAAACAAGTTTAATTGCCTTCAGTTCATATTTGGTGGCATTATTACTGCTTGCATAGCATTGGCTATTTAATAGCATCTGTAGCTATTCTCTGGGTGGCTCAAGTTAGAAACTTTGCCAGGGCGCGTGGCAAGGGCGCTCTTTATTGCTGGATTTTTTTTTTCATTTTGACTTCTAAACAAGCAGTTAAACACTTTTTTTGAGAATTTTTTGTCTATATAAACGCTACAGAGATGGTTAAAACGAGCATTACTTTTCTAACCTTAACAACCAAATCTTAACCCAAGTTCAGCTGGTAAAAACAAAAAATCTCGAGATTCGAAAAAAGAAAAAACATTTTAATGTCGAAATGCACTAATTGATGTTACTTCCCTAAGTTTTTTTGCAAGCTATCGGATTCGGTAGTAGATTTTTACATCATTATTCAATCATCCACACTAGCAAAAAATTTTGCTCAAACTTTTTTTGAAAATTTTTGCTGAAAATTTAGTTTCCAATGCCAATATGATTTATTAAGGAAAGCAGCGGCAATTCAAGAATCCCGCTGCCTGAAATGACTGGTCAAAAACGCTTGTATTATGCTACTAAAACCGTAAAAGTTCCACAAATTGAATGTTTGAAAATTTTATAACAGTTTGTAAAGCTTAAAGAAAACCTAATAAATTCTAAGCTAGCTATGCACTGTGATTTTATTTTCCATATGACTAAAATTTGAAAAAGTAGAAGAAAAATCATATGTGAAATATACATTCTCACGCTTTCTTGCACATAATAAGGTTATTCAAAATTAAAAAGATTACCAGAAAGAGGATCGGAATTGATCATAATTGCTTAAAAAAACCACGTTCTTCACCTGAACTCTTGAAGCGACCGAAGTTATGAGTATTATGAGTAACTTCAATCCCAATATTTTTTGTTTGTGAATTATTCATATCGAGTTATTGCATGACCTGTGGGTCGCTAAAACATCTGCAAAAAATCATAGTTTTCTCATTGAATTTCTTTGTACAAGGTATTAATTAGCAGACGAATATCCAAAACTATTTTTCCATTATCAAAATTTCTTTTCTACACTTAAGACTGTTTTCATTCCTAACCACTTTTTCCTCAGGTTGACCTCAAAACAAACAGTTTGTCTTTTTTGTTGGCAAGTTTCAATATAAAAAAAATGCTTAAAAAATTTTAAACGCTTATACTTTTGCTTCAGATACTTTCCAGTCGTGCTCGATGCTTTTTCGACCAAATTTCGATATATTTTGACCGCAATTCAAGTATGTATTGAGTTTGTGCTCGCCGTTAACAATTTTCTTGACCTTTTTTTGGTCAATCACCGATTTTTTGCCAACTTTACAAGTAAAATTATGAAACGAGAATTGGGTACCTAGAATCGGGTACATTTAATAGTAAAAATCTCAAACCTGAAAAAAGAAATGATTTTTATTTTTTTGCTTAATAGAATAAAACCTTCAAATATTAAAAAAAACCTTAACAACTTGATCGTTAAGAAAAAAAAGAATCGAAACCGATTAAAATAGTTCGAAAGCAGAACGCATCCTTGAGTCTAACCAATCAAATAAACGAAGTTTTTTTAGCAGCCTAACTTCAATCCCATCAACAAGCGTTCGTGAATTTCATGGTATGATTTTATGACTGCAAGGCATGATCAAAATATTTTAACGAGGAATATGTTTTAGTTTTTTTCCAAAACTGATATCTTTTACATCCTTCTATTTTCGCAACCTCTAGGCAATACAAGCCGACAAATAATCTGGAACAATACTCTGCTCTGCTTGTTGAAATGTCTTACTTTTATATTGCTCGAGATTTTGCGAGCTATTAGTTTCGTTAGCGAATTGTCGGATCATTATGAAATGCTTTTTTGTAGTGCAACTTTTAACGGTCAACAATTTTTTGGGCGGTTAATATTTTTCTTTTGCATTGCCAACAAATCATTTTTGCAGCGACAAATTGAAGTTCACTTTCAGCGCCGGACAGATTTGAATCATGGAGTTTTTGGTCAAAAACACTTCTGATAAGCTACAAAAACAAAATGTCTCAAAAACTGCTTTTTAAAGTCGTTAAACGCAAAGAGATTAGGAGGCCAAACTGTGCACTAGATAGGGGCACAATTTTGGATCTGAATGTTCCTGGATTCCAGAGACAAGTCCTTAAACAAATAAAATTTTGTCGGAACGATCAAAGAGAAAGAAATAATGAAAGAAGAAAAAAGGGAGTGTCCGTTTTCCGGAATCCACTTTCAGTTTCCAAAAAGCACAGTTAATGAGGAAAACCTTAAAAACCTTACAAGCTTTGCTAGTTACGAACCCTATGAAAGTTATAACAAGTTACAGTTAAGACGAATTGCTTAAGACGTACAAGATATCAAAAATTCGTTCCTACGCTTTTTGCTATATAAAAGAAGGACCTGCTAAAAAAAGCTTGAACCCAGATAATAAAAGACAATCGGAATAAATTAGAAGCATTCAAAGCTAAACACTTTAAAGGGCTGAACCAATGAGGCAACAGAAGCTGTAGCTGCTCAATTTGTAGCTGCTTTATTTGAAACCCACTTTTAAGTGTTTGTAAACTGTTTCATACCGAGCGATGTCTTGAGCTTTAACTCGCTACAGCATAATTACAAACTGAAAAAAAACATCTTTTTGATACTTCTATCTTCTATTTGAACTGACCTAACGTAATAAAACCTGGTAAAACTTCAGAACAATTTTCCTGACCGGTGTTTTTTTCAACGCAATGTTGTTTTCTTTTCTTTCTTAATAAGTCCTAATCAAAATTCAGCGTGTGAGAAAGAAAAATTTTGAAAAACAAAAAGTAACACAAAAAGTCGAAGCACAAATTTAACTCATGTTTAAATTACCCCGCTAGTATTTTTTGCAAGCATTTGATATCGGCAAATTGTTGGATCAGGATGTAGTCATCCCTGCTAGTGCAATTTTCAGCGGTCGAAAGTTTAATAGGTTGCTGAATTTTCAATTTGCAAAAAAGTAAGCCTTTATAACGAATACTTCAACAGTGCTAAAATTGAATCTCAGTTGTTTTTGGAGGTGCTGATCGAAAACGCTTTGTGGTATGGTATTAAAAATAAAATTCTGCGTGAGAAAACGTACAAAGCTTTTTTACCGAGTGAAGAAAACTATTAACACTTGAGCTATTTTTTTGCCAAACGTCAGTTTCCTTTGTTTTTTAAGCTCATTAAACCGGCAGTTTGTCATCAGAAACATGGTGGTACAAAAAAAAACAAGACTGGTGGTATCAGAGCGATGCTTTGAATGTTTCGACTGCCTTTATTGTCCCTAAAGGCCAAAATGGCAACCTTTAAACCCTCTAACTTTTCAAAAAACGATCACAGGTGAATTTTTGTTTCAAATTTAAGCTCAGGACATCAATATATTTTGAATGAAAAAATCCGTCAAAAATGGCTAGTTAAAATTTTGAAAATTTTCTGAAGAAAAAAAGCACCCTGAGCACAAATATTCGTTATTTTCGTTACGACATTTGGAACAAAAAGGAGTTGTTCTTGAGAGGCTCTTTTAATTATAAAACTTAACAAAGTTAGTCAGGTTGGAAGCCCTGACGAAGTAAAAAAAAGTCTTCGCTGGTTTGAACGTTCCAGATGTTTCTTCTAGATCTGAAAATGATTATGTTTTTTTTTCTATATATTTATATAAGACTTAGCTTACTTCGGTTCTCGGTGTTTTGTCCAATCCAGATTCAAGAATTTGTCGTCTTGCTCCTGATTAGTTTCCGAAATCGGTTTATCTTCTGGTGGCAAGTTCACAGCAGCGCTCATTTCTTTTCAAAATCGCTAGCAACCTGAAGGAAATAATTTTTGACAGACTGGTTAAAAGCGTCTGGTTTATTATGCTTGCCAGCGGCCAAATAAAAGTCTTCCTATCCTAATCGGTTTTTTTTCTAATAAGCTTTTTGAAGTAATAAAGCTCGTCGATAACTTTTGAGTATCAGAGGGCGATTTTTTTCAAAGACCAATCATGCACTTCGGAAATTATCGTCAGGGTAATATCTAGGCTTTCATAGTCGCTTTTATCTCTAAAGAACAAATAATTTATGCAATTCAAAGTGCCTCTCGGCTGATAAAAACTTACAATCAGTTTAGTTGGCCGATTTTATTAGTAAATAAATAAGGGCACAGAACACTTAGTTACCTCCGGGTTGAATCCCAACTCGAGAATCTCAGCTATTTTATTTCAATATATGCAATGCTCGGTTTTTACGCCATTCCCAAATATCCGTAAGGGGGGAAGGAAACGGATTTTGTGGCGTAAGCTCCACCCCCTATCAACCACGTGATTTGTTTAGTGGTGGGGAACAATAGTCAAATAAAACTCAATTGAGTTAAAAGATAAGCCACTATAGACGTTTTTAGCCTGTAGATCACATCGTCTTTGAACGGCGCATTTAAAAACAGGACAGAAATTTTAGGTAGAAGAAACTGATTTTTTCCCTGAGATTAAAAATAAGAAACTTTCTACTGCTTTTTAAAAGTCTATAAACACTGTTTGTATCGATTTTTTAAATCCTTTTCAGCCAAAAGTGCGAGATGATTACAAAACTCTTTTAAACCCCCCCCCCCCGATTTCTAAAAACGAAACAGGTGTCAACTAGCGCAAAAAGCAACGAAATAGAACGAAATAAAAAGCGTGACATATCAAGAAGTTATATTTAGAAGACACCAACCAATAACGTTTATGGGAGAGCTTTAAGCATCAACCATTTTCTCCTCATTTCCGATTAGAGTCATTATAACTTTTCAACAACTCAAGAAAAATCATAAGACTGTTTCAACACTTTTAGATTGAGCGACTGACTTAGAGTGTTTTTCCAAGCGCTTCTTTTTTTTTCAAGTTCAGCACATTCTGTTTAAAGAAACTCAATCGAAAAGTAATCAAAAATCAATCTCACACCTTAACACCAACCCCCTCCCTTACCTGTGGCGAGTTCAGTGTTTTTCACTAATGATGAGAACAGAAATGTGCTTAGCTATACTGGTTGACTTAATGATATTTAAACTTGGTAATCAAATAGGTTTTTGAAATTAGTTAAAATGAATTTACATGTCAGTACTTCTTTATCAACCATCTCTTCTTTTCTGATCTACACTTCAATGTGACATTAGCTTCATTATCCCCCCCCCCCCCCCCCCCCCCCTCGTACTGCTCGATGGAACTGATGACATATAAATTATAAGAGTCAGAAAATGTTATCAAACCAATTACACACATTAAATGGATCTCAACAATTTGCTATTACCCTTGCTAAAATCATGTCCTAAAATTATTTCCCGTTCCCTTATTATATCTGCTCAGTGGCCTCATATCGTTTCATAAGACGAGCGAATAAATTTTTTTTTGTGTGTTTCTAGGTTTTGAAGGTAAGGGGGACTTCATAACTTTGGCCTAAAGGGTTAAAAATCTTCTTGAATTTTTTTGGCCTGAAGGGTTTCTGCTTAGGTATTTTCGGCTTTGCTACTGCATTGTAAATTTTGTTTCGAAGCTAATTTTGCCTTCTATTGCCTTGGCATGTTTTGGTTTCAAAACTATCCTTACTCATTTTGATAGATATTGTTTTTTCGGTATTTTTCTTGTTTTGTTGCGCAAGGGGCCCAAAGATCAGCTTCGCTTCTTCGTTAAAACTATTCTGAAAAGGAATCTAGAAGTTTTTAACGCGATATGCCGAAATATGCTTTCGAAAGCAGAACAGTTGTGAAGTATGACGTCTTCTTTTAATGAAAAACATCCACTTTTTGGCTCGAAAATCAATATTATAATTATAAAGCCGCGTTAGTTTCCTCAGAATTTCCCAGGAAAAAAACCGAAAACTCAGAAAATAAAGGCTATATTGAACATCTGAAAAATGATATGATAATCTGAAATATGATTAAAAGTTTTGAATTCAAAATTTTCCAATTTTATTTGAAAAAACTGAGAAACTGAGCTTTTTTCGAATTTTTCAATATTTTGAATGAAGTTTTTCATTTGATCTATGTATATTCATGAAAAAGTGATAGTTCAAAAAGGATTTTTTTTTTGCGTTCACCGTTCATAATGACACTATCATTAATTTATGTTCTTTTTTTTGATTTTTTGGAATTTACTCGGTGTTGTTGTGTCAATGTTATGAGTCAAATTTTTTTCAATCAGCCAATTGTATACGTAAAATTGCATTTTTGAGTTTTTTGACTTGTTTTCTTATCAGAAATGCATCTTATGCAATGAAATGAAGATTTTCCACAAAGTCTCAATATAATTCGTAAAACTGATGACAAGACGTGGACTAGCCAAGAGTCTTTGGGAAAACGGTTGGCAATGTTTTCAATTGTGAATGTGAGAGGCTACAAAAATTTTGTTTTCCATGGTAGATCATAACCGTATTGCAGTTCTTAGATTAAAGTTTGATGGTTTTATCGAATCGTTTTTCCATGTTGTTTGCTGTTAGACATCATTTAACCATGAATTTCAAATTGTTTCCTCATGATTTGTCTCAGTGTTTTCTCATCTTTTGGTTAACTGTAATTCGTTTGTGTACTCTTCTCGAACTAGTTAATTTGTGGTCAAACGAAATATCCAACAATCAACAATCTTTGTCAAAGCTTTTTCTAACATTTTTGGTGTAATCAGGTATATGTGGTGTTCTTCTTCAGGATAATTATAGCTGAAATCGTTTCATGCGCAGCGAAAAACGGAGAAAACCTATCAACACTTATGATTGGGCCATCAAAACTTAAGCCAACAGGACTGCTGGATCATCAACTAGATTATACATTTTTGTACTTTTGCCTATTTCAAAAAAATTTATTGACAAAAAGATTTAAAAGTTGAGTTTTTTGAATTTTTTTTTGGAAAGTGACGATCAGATATTGTTACGACCTGAGGATTGTTCACCTAGTTATTCTTGCGTGACAACTTCAAGAGATTTCGCTACTTATTATCCCGCACTGGATTTTCATGGATAAAAGTCCATTGGTTTTGATTTTAAGTAACAAAATTAATGACAATATAATCGATTATAGATGCCAGTTTAAAAATTAATATTTTTTTTATTGGATTATAATTTAATTCTGTTATTACCAAACTAATCCATTATAATCCCCTTTTCTTCATTTATAATCGATTTTTGTTTCAACATAGTTCCATGAATATTGATTGTTTTTTTCTCCACAAAAAACCACTATAATCGATTAAACACTAATAATCAAAAAAACACAATCGTTTTCTGCAGACAAAATGTTTACTCAGCTTTTCCACCATTTTTTTGCAAAACAATGACGAATCAAAGATATTTTTAAATGATATTTAGATACCATGAAACAAAAAAGAAGAAACCATTTCACAAAATCAAGTTTGTGTTCTGGCTGTTTTTTGTTGTAATTCTGCTTAGCCCCCCCCTCGGCATTTTAACCTACCCTAATATGTTTTAACTCCCTGATAACCCGCATTAAGTAAATTGGTGATTGTAAAAAAGGTTGATGGTAAAAAGAAATGAAGAAAAAAATGTTAAAATCTAAAACTAAAAAGCGGAGAAAAAAGTACAATGGTAGAATTATGTGAAAAGCAAAAATTTATGATACTTGAAATGTGACAAATGCACTCAAAAGGAAATAGCAAATTGCATCAAAATTTTTTGAAAAAAAAAATATTTTTGATTATAATCATTTATAACTAATTATTTTGACATAACAATTATGAGGATGATTATCCATTTTAAATCGATTATAAACCATTGAACTTTAAAATTATCGTAACTGACAATTAAAATCTTAAAAAATTGATCCTTGTCCACAAAATAATCCAGTGCGGAATAAAAACAAAACAGTTGAAACTAATTTAAGTTTATTGATTGTTTTTAGTTCAATTTTTTAAACAAACTTTAGATTGTTTTCATTGGCAGTATCTTATGTAACTTTTAAACAACTTGTTGCATTTTTTAGTTTAATTTTTGATGGTTCTATCGAACCTATTGCATTTTTAGCTTAAGCTTTCATCTTTTGATCGAATTGTTTTTCCATGTTGTTTCCTGTTAGACATCATTTAACTGTCCATTTCAAATTGTTTCTTCATGATTTGTCTCAGTGTTATCTGATTTTTTGATTAAATGAACTTCGTTTTTGTACGTTTCTCGAACTACTTAAATTGTGGTCAAATGAAACGTCCAACAATTTTTGTCAAAGTTTTTTCTAGCATTTTTGGTGTAACCAGCCCAGGTTTATGTGTTGTTCCTTCAAAGGATATGCATAGCTGATTTCGTTCCATGCGCAACGTAGAACGGAGACACCCTATCAACACTCATGTTTGGGCCATCAAAGTTTGAGCCCACAGGACCACTGGCTCATCACCTAGTTTATTCATTTCTCTACTATTGTCTATTTTAAAAAAACACTGTTGAAAGCAGACTTAAAGCTTGATTTTTTTGGATTTTTCTTTTTGAGAAAGCGACAATCAGAAACTGTTAAGACGTGAGACTTGTTCATCCGTTGAATCCAACGCGAAAACTTAATGAGATTTTGCTTCTTGTTATTACATGGATAATAATCGATTGTTTTTGATTTTAAGTGTCAAAAATATTGGAGAGTTTAAGCAATTATAGACTCTATTTTCAAAACCTGAATTCTCTTTAAACGGGTCATATTTGAATTTCTCATACCAAAATAAACCATTTAAATCCATTTCTGTTTCATTATAATCGATTTTTTTACACCATAAAAATCATAAAAATCGATTTTTTTCTCCACAAAAATCCCTTATAACCGATTGTTTTCTGCAATAAAATTGTTTACTCATCTTGCACCATATATTTTCTGCATGACTATTACAAGCCAAAGATAATTTTTGAGCTAAATTTGAAAAAAAAAACAAGAAACAAAAAAAGGAATCAATTCAAAACCATCAAGTTTTTTCTGGCTGTTTTTTTTTTGCTGTACTCATGTTCCTCTCCCCCAGGTAACAGTTTACCATTCAAGTTTTCAATTCGCCCCTTTATCTTGCTCAAGTTTTTCCTACAACTGAACGAGCTACTCAGCAAAAGTCCCACCTAATTACCTCTCCCCTCATTTTAACTCACTCTTATATTTTTTCAACTGCCCAACCACCCACATTCAGTAATCTGGCGGATGTAAGAGTGGTCGAATGTAAAAAGCAATTTACTAAAACGTTAAGCTGCCTTATTAAATAGTGGAAAACAATGTAAAATGTAAAATCTTATGTGAAAAGTACAGTTAATCAAACGTACAGCGCAGCAACTGCACTAAAAAGGAAATAAGATGAAGTTGAAAACACTAGCAAATTTCATCAAAAACCTCTGAAAAAGAATCATTGTTATTGGTTATAATCATGTATAATGGATTATATTGATATAAAAAATTTTGGTATTAAAATCCAATTTAAATCGATTATTGTCAACCTTAAAACGAACAAATTCTTTGCCTTTTCCAATAGATCTAGCATATCAGTTTATATGTTTTGCAAAAAATTTTCATCAAAATTTTTGTTTTCTCTCCATGGCATTTTAGTTTTTGAAAGTTTTTGCAACAAGTTGTACAAAACTGCCGGCAATGAAGTATTGGTTTGCACAACTCATACAAAAATTTATTTCAATTTTAAATGCAAATCTTTTCAGAAGCAGCAAGGACACTGATGCTTTCTATCGTTTTTTAAAAAACAGTCAAATTTTACATTTGAAGTTGTTGACAAATATAATCAAAATTGGCAGTTTCAGCTGAATTTTAGCCATTGATTTTATCCGAGAAAACCATTATTAGAAAAAACTCACAAGACTAAATAAAATTTTTCTTTCATAAAATTTTTTTCATTGGGTTCAAATAGGTTTCCGCACAAAAATCTGTCGTTGCAGGTTCAAGGTCAAACTTGCAAATAAAGAAACTAAGTTAAACTGCTTTCATTAAAATTTTACTGATCTTTGCAGTCGAAAACACGCTCAAGGTAACTGAAGACTGCGCGGGTTTTGATTTGCCAAATTAAATATCAAACTTTTGCATACAGTAGCATACAAAACTGTTTGCATCAGAGAGGCGAATCAAAAAGCCGACTGCTCTGTAACGTTTATGTAGTGTTTGGTTTAAAAAAGTCAATTTTTCAAAAAAAAAAAGAAAGTTTTCTAGAGAACACTTAAAAATTTTGTTTGAAACCCATCTCCAACGAGCTATGTATACTAATAAATATACCAAATAGCATGCCTCAATTCAGTTTGGAGCAATTTCTGAAGCGTAAGTAGCAGGAAATAAAACGCGGGCTAACTATTCCAATTTGACTATCTTTCAGAGTGTTGGCAATCTTTCATTTGAACCCCAAACATTTATAAAAAAAGATAACAAGTTTAATCTTTTTTTATTTGGGCTCATTACAACAATAATTTTGGAATAAAATTCAAATTGAATTTGAAAAAAAAAATGAGTTAATAAAAAGGCTAATAAAAATGCTTTGCCATAAAAGAAATGGTTTTTCTCATATGAAAACTTTTATTCAATTTTGAGCTGTTGGCTCACCACAAAAGCAGCTTTGTATTTAGCCAACATTCGGAGAAAGCAGTTTTAAAGTGAGTAAAAGCCATATATAGATCAGAAATTGTCTCTAGGCAGTTCCTAAGTTTTTTTAAGGGAGTAACAAATGTTTCAAATCAAAAGCCAATTTTTTTTGAAGTCGTTCTGTGCACTTGGAAAAAATAAAGTTGTTACCACTAGGAAAAAAAGCATGTTTTTTTTCTGTTACAGTACCTTTTTTACATTTGACAAACTCTTCGAGATTTTTGCTTTTAATACATAAATTAAGACTAAAACACTCAAAATGAATATATATTCATCTATATCAATCTATATATTCAAAGCATATGCTCGCCTTTGCATTGTATAGATTTCTATAGTATTTAGTAGTTCAGATACAACTGCAACCAAGTTTTATCAAAACGTCAAAAAAATTTCTGAAACTGAAAAAATACGAAATCGCGTTTTCAAGGGATGGCAGCTCAGACTTAAGAAGCTCGGCTAAAGTTCTTCGTCAGCTACCTTTTTGTGAAATTTAGGGAAGAAAAATATTCTATCAAAACTTAATCAGACCCATTAAAAATGGCAATTCGTTCAAAATTTGCCTTTAAATCAACCTCGCAATAATGTCATCTCATTGCTTACCGTAGCTAAATTGATGTGATTTTAATGAAACTGAAGTTTCTTTAAAGAATGGCTCTCGTTTAATCATTTACCGTTTAAGCTTGTTTTTGTTACAACAACATCGTGAACTTAATGAAGTTTTGATCCCTCAATTATTTGATCTTTTCATCCTAGATAATTATTTTGCTTTTTTTTCATCAGTTTCGGCAGATTGATAATTATTAATGTTGGGTAAAAACTCGATTTTTTAGGGTATGTCATTTTTTGTGCTTATATTCAAAGTAAAATTTATGTTTGGGCCTGCTACGTTTTTTTGTGGCAAACAACTTCATTTTTTTAAGGTAGTAACGTATTTTTTATTTACATTGTTTTTTCCGACTATAGAAGTTAATGAGAAACTTTATGCAACACATTTTTTGCACACAAATTGACACACAGAAATGACTCCTGAAAGATAAGTTTCAAGGGTTGAAGGAATCTTACTTTCAATATCACCCATAATATCCCTGAAAGTGTGATGGAATTTTGGCCCACTTCACATAAAATAAAAGCCCCGTATATTAACTAGAAATTCATTGAGTTTGTTATCGTATCGAAGGTTTTTAGTCGTGAATTCAAGGTTTTGAAGAAAATATGAAAAGTTGTCTCAAGTGTTTTTTTGGAGTAAAAATGGATAGTTATTTTGATGAACGCTCGGCAAGCGCAAAGTACGCCTTACGCAGAAAACTGAATGACTAGCAACTAGCATAATTTCGATAGCTTTTCCTCAGAAAATCGAAGCAAAAAGAAATTGATAAACTGAATAATTTGAACTCAAACTGAAACTTGCATTTCTAGGCCTCGGAGCGGTTAACCGGTTAACCAGTTGGTTTATTTTAACCAGTTAAGTTTTCATTAACCGGTTAACCGATGGACCATTTACTAGAGTTCCTATCATACTACTAAGTTATATTTTGCCTTTTTCAGATAAAAATGTCGAGTTGGGTGTCGAAATACTTTAATAAAATCAACGACAAACCGGCTGAGTTTCAGATATGTCGGAAGTCCTTCACCCTGTCTGGAGGCAACGGGGCGCTTCTGTATCATGCGAACAAGGTTAGTTAATCGTATAATATGAACTTTTATGTGATTTCATGGCTATTTTAAACTATTACTATTTTAAACTACTACTGTTCTGTATAAAATTCAATCAGTTCTGCCAAAAACGTTTTCTTCAGAATTAAACGGTTAATCGGTTAATTTGAAATCGGTTAGCCGGTTAAGAAAAAATTAACCGCTCCGAGGCCTATGCATTTCTGAGAAGTAGAACTCAGATGTAAAGAAATCAAGCTATTAACAAGCAAAAGAAATTCTAAACATAGAAGCTTTTATACTAGCATATATATATATATATATAACCTTTTTTGTCTACCCGGGTTGTGTAAAAAATGTGTGATTCATGCTAATTCCTTAATTCAATTCACAATCTGCTTGCAGGCTATTTTTCAATTTAATTCGGAACTTAAGTTAAATCCGCTCGCACGTTTTTGCTTACTTTCTGCACTATTTATGTTGAGCTTATTTATTTTCGCTAAACGTTATTTTAAAAGTCATTCTCAAAACTGAATGATTACGAATATCAATTTTACATTTTTAGAGTACAAAACTATCAATAAAATAATTCAATTATAAATAATTATTTATGATAAAAATTAACAATAAAAGGCACAAGTTTCGGTCTTTAACTATTAAGTCATTTGTTTTTGAAACAGTTTTAAAAAATTATCTTTACACAGAAGAATACATAAAATTTGAATTCAGAATGCAAGTAAATAAATAATCACCCAGTTATTGTGATAGCAGTTTTGTCGCAAACGGTGATTAAGTAGATTAATGATATCCAGTCTACCAAAAATTGTTTCCTTTCTATACTCTCGATTCGTTGTCAAAGTTCACTCTATATTTTTGTGATACAAAAAATTTTGTTAGTTTATTTTGGAAAAATGATCGTTTTTGTTTTTTTTTTTCATTTGTTTTTTTTTTCAAAAAACATTCATTCTTTTTAGGATATAATCAAATCAATTTTGTATTGAAAAACGTTTTTTTTTCTTTCTCAAAATTCAAAATTTTTTTGACGGTTGCTCTTAAGTTTTTTTCTATCGTTTTTACATAAAATATGATTTGATATATGCCTAGTAGACCGGATGCTCAAAAATAATAATGCGTTAACTTAACAGCCAACAAATACTCTATTTGTTAACAATAAAAGTTAAAAGTTAATATTCGTGGCCAGAGGTCGACTAGCAAGCAAACCCCTCGTCACAAGCGAACTCCTGGACCAGAGCGTATATGATGAAGAGGACATACATGATGACGAAGGTCACGCCCACGAATCTGTTCAGGCGGAAGCGGACAGCGATGAAGACGAGGTAGCAGAGGACAAGGATGAAGAAGAGGATGAAGCCGAACTTCACGTGCGGGATTAGAGGGTTGTTGTGACGCAGCTGCGCAGCCTGGAAAAAAACCCGAAAAAATGAAACTAAATAAAACAAGACTGCTCGTATCAGGGCGAAGCCCTGAAAGTTCTAACTGCCTTTTAAGGTCTATGGAGCATTAATAAGATAGAAAATTTCAATGTAATAAAAAAAAACTTAAAAAAATTTTTTTTTGAAAAAATTTGAGATTTTTTTAAAAAAACATCCCCCACACGTCATATTAAGTCCAAAGCGATAGATTTTGCTCCCATTAACAAATCAATTATGGCATATAACTTCCTTGAACCAATTTGGAACGATTTCTAGGACGGATTAAATCTCGCTTACGCGTTAATAGCGCGAAATTTATCGCGCGTTAATTGTCCCAAACTGACCAAAATGGCAATCTTTAAACCCCCATAACTTTACGAAAAATGATCACAGGTAAAATATCTTTTCAAATTCAAGCTCAGGACAACAATAGCTTTCGACTGATATAAAAAAATTCCGTCAAAAACGGCTAGTTACAAAGTCGAAATTTGTCTGAAGAAAAAAAAAACCCACCCCGAGCACAAATATTCCGTTACTTTCGGAATCGAAAGTCGGAACAAAGATTGCAACTGCTACGCAAAACTGCAATTGAATAAAAAAATTGAAAATCAATCGCGAATTTGCTACAGAACCAAAAATTGGCAAGTGTTTGGAAAGATTGCAATTGAGTTGAAAAATTTCAACTTAATCTTAACTAAATTTGCGATGATAATTTCTAATTAAACGGTTAGAAGAAGATTTTCCCACAAGGGAAAGATCAACAAATGAGCTATTCCTTTCGTACAGGATAAAAATTATTTGACCGTCTTTTTCTCGACACAGATTTTTTCGATTTTTTAAAATTCGTCTTGCAGAGCTTTAATATAATGTATCGCTCAACCATTTCTATTAATTATTTGTGTCGGAAAAGAAATTGAAAAAAGTAAGTAAAATACTAAAACCAACCCGAAGACAAAATTCTTCAGAATAACTCTCAGTACAGTTAGATATAATTGTTTGCAAACTAAAAAATCATCACCTGTATCAGTTTATGATAAGTTTAACGCAATTTGAAGACGCTCGACTATTACTAAGTTTACAATTCACAATAACAGCCAAAGCGACCGCACATCGGTGAACAATTTAAATTAAAAAATCTTAATTTTATTAAAATGTCAAAATTTAGAATTAAAGTCTTTTAAGAGGAGCTTACTTTTTCGTCGGCGCTCAGCAGTTGAATCGGTTTTAGTTGGTCCATGAACAACATGCGCACTAGAAAGGGAAGTCCGAGGCCAAGGTCAATGTCGAACACGTTACTTCCGATCGCATTCGACACCGCCATGTCCCCGAACCCATCTCGGGCCACTATGACGGAGCTGAGAGCGTCGGGAACACTAGTGCCCACGGCCACGATTACAAGACCCATGACGAACTGCTGGATGTCCAGGGCACAACCGGCCCTGCCGACGAGAAAGACCATGGCGAAACTGCAGAAGCCGATCCAGAACAGACTCATCATAAAAGAGACTAAATAGTATTTCCTGAAAAATAAAACAAGGATACTTAATTTTATCAACATTTTAGTTCAATTGAAAGAAGAGATCATATTCGACTACATTTTAGAAGTTGAACTTACTGCTATGCAGAAACAATGTGATGATTAATTCTTCAAACTTACTTCATCGAGTCATACTTTCACAGGGTTTCTGGCGATTTAAAAAGCATATAATCTTTGACAATGAAAAAATGAAAGCAATGTTGAAACGAATGAATTACTCTCTTGATGCACACTTCATCGAGATAAAAAAAAAACGAAACTAACTTTAAGTGTGGCTTTCCGCAGTTTGGAACAGTCCAAGCGAACAGGATAGCCCAGGGGAAGGCTAAGACGAACAGAATCCACGCTCCCAGAAACTTGACATTGGCCACGAACCCAGGGCTGTCCTTGGAGGGAATGGCCATGGGAACCCCAGGCATGCAGCTGCAGATTTTGATTTCATCATCTTCTTCCTCTTCGCCGTCTCCATCCGTATCCTGCCAAAAATAACATGCCAGTTTGGATATATTTAACAATCTCCCCCTTTCAAGAAAGGGGGGGGATTGTTAAGTAGATTAAATTAGTCGAATTTTCGACCAATCAGAATGCAACAAAACTAGACTTCGCAATAGAACGCTCTAGTGCTTTTTACATTTTTTATTCATAGGGGTGGAGATTCTTAAGAAGACACCATAGGGAGGGGGGAGAGATTGCTAAGTAGATCTGCCAGTTTGGCTACTTATACTTAATGCCAAATTTTTGACAAACTCTTACTTAATCAACGAATCTGAACGAAGTTATTTGAGCTAAAACTACTCATTTTATCACTGATTTCCGTGCTTGAAAGTTGTCTCCAATTAAACTATCCCGGGTTGACCTCCATAAAATTCCATAAACCAAGTCTATGAAAAAATACTAGTCAAACAAATTTTATACATTTTTTTACAATGATGTCATCGAAATTTCAAAAAAAAATTTTTTGTTTTGTCATAAAAATCGGTGTATCGTACTAAATATCAACGAAAATCTTTTTGTCAAAAGAAAATGCTAATCATACAATTTCCATATACCGAAATTTTATGACCAGCATTTTTTTGATGGCGTCAACAAAAATTTTTCTAAGTAATTTTGAAATTGCCCCAAAAATCTTTTGTTTTTTTTTCAATACCAAAACAAATTTTGTACTCAAGCAAGCATTTTCCAAAAACAATTTTTGCATGCAAAATTTAAATTTTTGTGTTTCAAAAGTAGTCCTGGATACACAAAAATTGGATTTTTTTCCGTTTCTCTGGATAACTTTTTCAAAAACGCTTAACACTCCTATTTTTTTGTATGGTATGTTTATGAATGCCTTGATCATTATCTGATAATTGAAAAACTCAAATTTTATTAGTCATTTTGATAAAAATTTAAAAGTTGGATGCTTTTAGTATATTAGTTGTGTAAGAAAACTCTTGTATAACTCAGGTTGCTTCCAATGCATTGAAAATGCAAGACGATCAAAATGTTGGTGACTTTAGTTTTGAGTAAACCATGGTTTTTGTCACTTGTGTTTGGTCCTGAACACATCCGATAAATTTTGAGAAATTAAATTTTTTTAAAAATCATTTTTTTTGGTTTATGGGAAAATGCTAGTCATACAATTACCATATATGCAAAATCACTAGTTTTAGACTTTTCGTGCATTTTTTGTACTTATGGAACTGCATGAAAATTTATGATTAGCAGTTTTTTATATATGAAAATTGTATGATTAGCCTTCCGACTGCACTATAACTAATACAAACTAGTTTTTGTTAACAAAAAAAAAGATAACATTTTGAAAAATTGATACGCAATATCCGATACGAGGAGGTATAGCTCGTCTCTAATTTTGGACATTTCACAAGCCTTAATTTGACGACTCTCCCTTGAGAACAAAGTGCAGTTAGTTATAGATACGTAACTGCACTCTAATTTTGAGTGCAGTTACGTATCCATTTTGTGTTTTTTTTTATCGGTTGAGTTCTGTTTTTATCCGGCATTCAGTTTTTGGCTTACGCCGTTACAACTCTACAATTCGATGTGTGGCTGACCTTTGTTTTTGTATTTAGTAAGCTTGTTGAGTATTTGAACAACTTGTTAGAAATATACTGAATAATGGTGCTAGGGATTTTAGCAGACCGGTTTTTAGCAGATCAATCTTTTTTACAGACTCAGAACAATGTCCGAAAGCTAATTGTAAACGCGGTATTGGCGATTAGAAACCGCTTGATCTGCTGCGCTTCAATCGGCACGAGTGTTATTGTGCGCGTAAACCTTTGTTTTGCCGCTAATTTAGCTGCTGTGTTTTTGAAGTTTTGTTGACAAATCGTGAGATAATTTTGTTGACAAATCGTGAGATAATTGTCTTAATTGGTAAAACTTGGCCCCAGACTAAGCGCTTTTTTGAGTCTGTCAACCAAGCATCTATAACTTTATTACGTTGGTCTGCTAAAGTTCCATTTTTCAATTTTATGCTGAAAGATGGCTCTGCTAAATGATCGATCCCCCTGAAAAAAGTACTGAACGGTGCACTACAAAAAGTATACGTACAGGCACTGAAGTTTCATGGATAATAGTCGATTATAATATTCGATAGTGTTTTCATTGTAAGTCTCCACAAAAAAAACAATGATTAGGAGCGATTAAAAATGTATTATTTAATTTTTTTTCTAATTTAGTCTGAAAAGTTTAACACAAGGCAGCGTTTTCAAAAATTAGCAGTTGTTTCTGGTTTACCGCAATTTTGGTTATAAAGTTGCAAAAATGAGATTTACTTCGGCTAAGAAAATGGTTATAATTTTTTTCACATTTTCCCTTCACAATTTTTTAGGTTGTATTTTTCTAGTTTTTTCTGATTTTTCTAACTTCTGCCAAACTCACGTACTTCGTTCCCTTCCTTGTTAAGCCCTTTTTTCGTGCCAACCCCAACACCCCCCCCCCCCCGCCCCCCTATGGGAGCGGGTGTTATGATGAGACATAACTCCTAAAATGATTTAAGAGCCAAGTTACATGGCCACTGGTATAAAATTGTTGCTGGTGAATTTCATATTTAAACTCGCAAAAAAGAATCTATTTCTTTCAGGCTGTTGAAAAAAGTTGGATGATCTTGTTAACTATCCCCCCACTATGCATGTATTATTTTTGACAACAATTTCTATAGTTAACAACTGTTTCAATAGTTAACAAGATCCAAAAAGTCTTTCAAAAGTTTTAACCAAAAATCAAAACAGGTCTGAAAAAATCTAAAGCTCCGAACAAAAGCGCACCGAAGGGAAAAAAGGGGTCGTTGTTTTTTCTTCAGACCAATTTTGATTTTTTAGACAATAATTTTGACAGATTTTAACCGTGACACTTATTAAAACTACTCAATTCTGTCTGCCAAACTGGTCACGCCACTGACTTTAGCCATACAATATTCACCACTTATTCTGAATGATGGATTATTAACCTAAAATTAAAAATTGATCTAAGCCAAGTAGTCAGTTGCGTGTAATGAAAAGGCGATGGACGTAGTTCAATTTTTTATTGAAATTTGTTAAGGATTTTAGGCCGAATATATTACGAGGATAAAATAAGTTCCTGATTTAGGCTTTCCTGATGTAATTGTATTGGACTGAATAATTTTGCATTAACGTGGTTCTCGCATTATATCCCCCGGCAAATTATAGCTGCGCCCTAAAATGAAAACTACTATCGCGTACGTGTGGAGGGTTTTATTTTTTCTCTGAGTGCAGTCACAGGTTATAGAAGTTGCAACTAATTGAATTTGGTTTCTTTTTTTTTTTCAATCACACGACGTAGAAGTTGCAATTTTTTGATTTTTTTTTGTGTTTTTGTCGCTTTTTCCGCAACTATTTAAAATATGGGATTGAGATTTGACACATCCTTGATAAAATATTCGAAAGAAGGTAACCGGATCAAAGGGGACCGATCGTTTAGCAGGCCAATTTTTTAGCATAAAAAGTGAAAAACTAGTATTTAGCAGACCAACAAAATAAAGTGATGGACGATTGATTGACAGGCTCAAAAAGACGCTCAGTCTGGTGCCAAGCTTCCCCAATCAAGACAATTATCTCACGATTTGTCTACAAAACTACCAACTTCAAAAACACAACAGTCTAAATTAGCGGCAAAATAAAGATTTACGCGCAAAATAAAACTCTTGTTGAATTGAAGCGCAGCGGAGCAAGCGGTGTCTAAGCGCCAATGCCGCGTTTGAAGCTAGCTATCTGACTTTATAATGGTTCTGAGTCTGCTAAAAAACCAGTCTGCTAAAAAAAGCAGTCTGCTAAAATCCCTAAGCCCCGGATGAAAATTTGAGATTTTTTTGAAGACGTACAATAGCCAGCGTATGATTACTGGTTTTAGAGTTGTTCTTGCTGTGGAAATATCCTTGCAAACAAATCAAGAAATTTGACTTAATAAGCTCAAATTGGTTCTTAAGGAAGCTGCTGGGCTTAGATTACTCTTAATGCAGCGGAAACACGACAGACAAAATTGAAAGAGTTCCTTGGCCCGGCGTCAAGGAAGGTCTAACTATTTAAGAGTCATTTTTGCGCAAATTGTGCAAAAAAAATCAACACAACAAAAGAACTATTCCAGCCAATATTTCGAGACCAATTGACTGCTTCGTTTCAAGCACAAGATTCTCATAGGCAGTTCTGTTGTCTCTAAACTTTTTCAAACTATCTGGTAAAGACGCTTCAAACCTTTATTGTCTGTATCGTCAAAACAAAATACCATTTATTGACGCGAGACCCAGTGATCTGTTAAATATTTTTTGTCTCTCGTTTTTCGGCGGCGTACAAAATTAGTCTCCGCTTTCCAAAGAAACAATTTGGGCCCATGAAATCAAATTTATTGTGTTGTTTCCAGAACAAGAACACTGCTGGAACTAGTTATGATATACTGGTTGTTTTACGCCTTCCAAATAAAATTTCTCAAATTTTGATCCGGTTAGCTTTTTTCATTTTTTTTCAAATAATTTCATGAGTCAAACTTTCATCATTTTATCGTAACTATTTGCAGAGAAAACGACAGAAACTTGAAGAAAAAGTTCGTTCCTTTGCTCATTGAGTTTCAAAACGTCACATGACTATAGGCTGGGAAGGGGGGCTGTAATGAGAAATATCTGCACAAACTAACCTGTTGGTCGGTGTTACCAGGAGGGGGGTTCGATCCTGCTCCTTCTGCTGCGTTTGATTGATTGGCTCCGACTCCGTTTAGAGAAACAGTGCCTGCCTAAAATGTTGTTTAAAAAATCTTAGAACTACTTCGAAAAAACCGAGGTTTAGTTTTTTAGAGTAAAGCCAAATAATAGAAATTTTACAAAGCTTGTGATATGACGGTAAAAGTTTTTCTCCGACCACTTCATTAACTTTGGATGTTTTTTGCGGTTTTTTTCAGAAGAGTTTTTGATAGAGCGAAATGATATCGAACAATTTTTAGTCGTGATTTGAAATCCGAGAACATCGTTCAAAAAGCTTACTCAGTATCCAAAAAACTGGTCTGATTTTTCTGTTTTTCAGACTGGTTTTCAGGGTAAGTGAAGAAGAAAAACCGAACTTTCTATGATTGATTTTGCTAGAATTCTATAAAAATTAAGGAGGCTGCTATTACCTTACGCATAATGCTAAATTTTAATCCGTCCAAAACAACGTAGAATTTAAAATTGTTAGTTTTTTTTTCGAAATGATTGTAAGTGTTGAAATGATTATTGGTTGATAGATTGACACTGATCATAACATGTAACAAAGATACATTTCGGTTGAAATCGCTGAGTTTGCGATCATAATTTGGCCGAAAAATCCAGTTACAACTAGCTCATCAACCAGTTAAACCTTTTTTTTTAATTTTCAGTTTTTTTCAACGTTATATTTTTGAAAGTAGAGAAGAATTGCCGCTTGCAGTTCTTATTACAATATCTTAAGCCGCATGTTTTTTTTTTAATTTTGAGATACTCTGTTTTAGTTTTGAAGCATGTTCCAGCAGAGAATTTACCATTAGGCTTCAAGTTATCTGAAAGTCATTCGTTTTTTGAACTTAATATTTTTATTCATATATTCCTTCTAGCCATTTCCTGCACCCCAATAAAAGTCCGCCCCTTTCAAAACCCTTTCAAGGAAGCCGCAAATGAATTCAAGTCCCCAGAGCTCAAGCGGTCTTGTCAAGTTTAGATTGAGTTGTCAAAACTGCCAAGGCCTTACTATACTTTACGGGTGGGCTGCGTCACTTAGGGTCCCCGAATAACAAGTCAAATCTCGTCTAAACAACTTTCCTTGTTGACGTGACCACATTCATAAGGTTGTAAACAAATATCTACCAAGACAGTAATGAGAAAATACCACAAAAGCAGTTAAATTCAATATAAATCGCAATCTGCCTAGAAATACATTGAAACAAGCGAGTCAAAATGTGCAGAATAATGTTTCAAAGTGTAGAACATTGTTGTTATTATCAACTGTGCACACATTTGTGCTGAAAAGCACAAAAAAAATCAACAAATGTTAATTTGGCAGAAAATTTTTTTAATACAAAAATTTGGGTAAATATTTCCTGGGAAACGCGAAGCTACAAAAAGTTAAAGACTGCTTTACAATGTCATGACTCAAACATAGTTTTGGCAACACGCAGCTTACCAAAATATGAAGAATTATAGTATTTGGTAGTCAATTTTTTAACCAACCGAAGCTTTAGCTGTTTACTAGATTTTTTTTGAACATTTTAAAAACCACTGACGAATAGCTCAAACACTTCGTACTTTTGATTTTTGAAATTTTTGGTCCATTTTTTTGTAAATAAGAGTTCAATCATTCAAAATTTGATAAGTTTTCTTATTAAAAAAGCTTTGACTGGTTAAAAAAATTGATACCACGTGACCAAAAGTTGATGGTCATAAATGCAATGACGAGGTTCGGCTCGTGGTGTTGTCTACTTACTTGGCTTGTGTTGCTGCTTTTTCGAGTACCCTGTGAACAATTCACAGAATCATTTCTATGTCTGTTAGTAGAAGGGGTTGCTGCATAGTACCAGTTATTAAGAGAACCCCCAGAGAATACGATTTCAGAACCACCACCCGAAGTACTACCAGTGCCACCGGGTAAACCCATCGCCCCCGCTGGCGACGCCGACTCCCCCATTCCGCTAACGCTCTCATGTTCTGAAGGTACGGTGCCGTCGGCCATCACGTGACCGGCAAGTTGCGCGTCTTGGTGGTTGACGCGATGAATCATCCCGCTTCCGTCTCCACCCTCGAAAACTTCGGAAATTTCTTCGAACGCGAGGGGCGCAACAGTCGGCTTGTATTTCACAGAATGGCTTGTCGAATTTGTCGAAGATGCGACACTCATTCTGCGAATCTAGTTCAAATTTGTCGTTTTAAAAACAAAAAAGAAACATCTTTTTCTCAATTTTAAGTGCATTATTATACGATGAAACCATTTTTGGGATAATATGTTAATATTATGAAAACAATCACATATGTCTTATGAACTCGCGCAGTGGCAGACCTGATAATTTCAGATATAATTAAATTTTTTCGTGACTTCAGCAGAGTTTTAAATATATTTTTTCGTCCGAAGACTTTTTTGGTGGAGAATTTTAAAACCAATCAAGACCAGGTGATGGGCAAATATAAAACTTGTAACTTTTTTCAATTAAACCTATCATAAAAGATTAATTAGATTTGTCCGGCGACTCTCCGATTGCAAATTGGACGTCACGTTTAATTTGCTTCAAGATGAGCTGTATTTTTAATTGAAGTTTGAACCATAAAAGGCAGACGATACCGCATAAATCTCCGCCTATTTTAGAGAAAATATTCCCGCCTATTTTTTGAGACAATTACTAATTAAAACTTCGGCAACCCTTATAAAATTGCTTTGAGCAAAATCTTTTCCTAACGTTGTTTTTTGAGGACTTAAGGCTTCCGTTGTTTCCATTTAAGAAACAAGTACACATTTATATAAAAAAAACAACAAATTTCAGAAGAAGGCATTAAATGTGTATAAAGGCCCAACTTGGATTCGAACTAGCGACGTATGTTTAGGCACTAAGCGAAGATGTAGTTGTATGTATTCTTACCAGTCCATTGAGTTGTGCTGTGTGTTTAAACTTGTGATCCTGATCGTCGCTTTTGCTCACGTTGTCTTCGGTCTAAAAAAATTTCAAGTTACAAATTTAAGAAGAAAAATTTAGACGCACTGAAATAGCTATTGTTTTATCTCGTACATTAGGTGGCGTAGTTTTTAAAGCCACATGTCAATTAACTCCAATTGTCAAAAAATTGCACCCAAATTTCCACTGCATTCAATGCATTTTATATCCAAAATGCCAAAATACCCCATTTTCAGATTTAAGGAAATATTGGAATATTGATTTTTTTTAATTAACTGAATCAAACTATTAAAGACAGAGGCGGAACTGCGCTTTGCACCACTTGCGATACAAAACAAAAAGCCGCTAAGTAAAAAAAATTGAAAAAATTGAAAATGTGACAAAACTAGATCTATCAAAATGAATCAGTCTAGTTTTGAAACACACACAAAACCTCAAAACACACACAAACACGATACTTTTTTGCTCGTTAAATGGAACGAAGTAAGCCAACTAATCCAACATAATAAAGGCCGAAACCTATTCAGTAAAAACAAAGAAAAATAGAAAAACAAAACCGAAAAACAAAACCGAAAAACAATTCAAACAATTTTAAGACTAATGAGACCTCAACTTCAAAACGCACGCAAGCACAATTTTTTCCGCTCCGAAAAAAGAAAAAGAAACAAATCAAAAAACCTGAAAAATTGTTGTCATGGAAAACATGAACAAAGTTTCTCTTAAAGTTTAGGTAATTGTGCGATCCAGAGGTGAACACTAAAACTATAATTTTAGTGAAACTGTTCAACAATATGTCCCTATAACTATAAAATAAAAACGCCGAAATCATTCAAGAAAAACAAAAGCTTACACAAAAAATTATAAGGTCAAAAAAAAACAAAAAAAAGCCGAAGGAGAAACACTAAGAAGAACTTCAATGTAAATTGCGTCTAAAAAACAATTATACGATGTGTCAAATAAGCCAACAAACATGAGCAGACAAACAATAAGTCAAATTCAATTTTGACCATTCTGTAAACAAAATTATTTATGGGGGAAAAGTCTCGCACCCGATGGCAATACTACCCTTGTTTATCCTAAGGGTAATAAAAGAATCAAACATAGTTTCATTTACAATAATACTAGCCTACAGAGCAAAAAAGGTAGGAAGACGACTGGTAATGTGGAAACTAAGCCAACAAACATAAGCAGACAACTGAAAGAACGATGATTTTTGCACTAATACTTTGGGTTTAAAAAAACAGATGCTGACCGGATTCGAGCCTAGTCCCTTAGCCGTCAATTAGTTTTTGTGAGCATTAATAAAACTTAACTTTCAAAAAAATTGAGCTTGTTTGCTGTAGAATTGATTGCTGCACAAATGACTCAGTGATTTTGTGGAACTAGTTAATAACCCGAAAAAAAAGAGTCTATGTTCCGATTTGATAACGATTGCTATTCCCAAGCGTAATCATTGAAAACTTCATGTTTTGGATTGAGATACCCATCTTCAAATTATTCACATTTCAGAAACCAAACAGTCACATGATCATCTCAGCCCTTTTTTCTGCTTAACTTTTTCCCCATAGCACCGGGATTTTTATTTTTAAAATTTTGAAGGAGTTTATTACAAGCAAGAAATTTTTTACATGTGAAGAGTTTTAAAATTTCTTTAGTTTTAAGTTTTTATTGTTCCGACTTTCGTAAAGAAAGTAACGGAATATTTTTGCTCAGTGTGGTTTTGTATAACTAGCCTATTTTTGACGGTGTTTTTAAAATTATTCAAAAGGTATTGTTGTTCTGATCTTAAAATAACGAAACAAAATTCACCTGTGATCATTTTCGGGAAGTTATGGGAGTTTAAAGATCGTCATTTTGGCCAATTTGTGACAATTAACGCGCGATATTTTTCGAACTATTAACGCGTGAGCGGAGATTTAATTCGTCTTAGAAAGCGTTCCCAATTGGTTGAAGGAAGATTATTTGCCAGAACGGATTTGTAGCCAGGAGCGAAGTCTATCACTTTGTAGTTTATATGGCGTGGGGGATGTTTTTCTTAAAAATCTCATATTAAAAAAAATTTGGTTTCATTTTTTTACATTTAATATTTTTCAGATTATTACTGCTCCATAGACCTTAAAAAGCAGTCGGAAAAAAAGCGGGTCTACGAGCAGCTTTTAGAATTTTTATAATTCCTCCAAGGTTGTTGGGTAACAACTCTCGGCCCGAAGGCAGGTGATTCTTTAAACACAAACGGAAGGTTTTCAAGTAATTCGTTATCTCCCATTTTCACACCAAGAAAGTGTGAAATCTTAGCAAGTGATCAAATTAACGACGTGTTCACGCAGCGAGAAATTTGCATTAAATTATAAATTAGGGCAACCTGTAATCTTTGAAATTTCTACGGAAATAATTGGGACGTTTTTCATTAAACCGATACGCTAAATCTTAGATTGAGTGTAAAAAAGTACTTTTTCATTCCAACAATGAACAAACATCAAGACATTTAGCACAATTCCCTCAATCATGGCTAATGAAAAGTTTCATAAAATTTGTTATCTTTTTTTTTGTTAAATCGGGGAATTTCTAAAAGTAGATGATTTTGAGAGGCTTTTAGTTTAGTTGATATCAGGGGCGGATCTAGGATTTTCTTTTTTTTAAGGTCGAAGTCGATTAAATTGATTTTTCGATTTCGTCTCTAAAGCAGTAAAAGTTTCCAAAGCACACTAAAAACTCCCTGTTTTGGCCAAAACTTCTGCGCCGCAGGCAAAATTTTGAAAAAAAAACAGGCCAAAAAATGATGCGTGTTTAGGCACTTTTTGGAATATTTTGACCAAAAATTGCGTTTTTCGGCGCGCACTCGCCCCTCAAAACTAGTATTTATTGGCGCCAAAGGCACCTTAAGAAAATTTTTAGGGTCCGTAACCAAAAACGGATATTTCAAAAAAGTTTTACAATAGGCGTCCCCCCATCCCCCCCCCCCCCCTAAATCCGCCCCACGTTGATATGCAAAGATATTTGAGTGATTATGGACAAAGGGACTTACTGCTTGGGCCGGTTGTTGCGGCACAACTTTGCTGCAGCTGAAACACATAACAGAGAATTGACACCAATTTAGACCACAATCTTTTATCCTGACTGATCAAACGATTTTATGTGATCTCAAACTGTTTGAAATCAATCGGGATTTGAAATCAAATTACAAAACACGGTTGGAGTTCATTGAAGAAAGGTCAAATTTGCCATAAAATTTTTTTAGGAGTAATTGTTGCCCAAACCTCTATGATATTTGCCTTGTAGAAGGGTCGAACACCCAAAAATTACTAGAGCTATCAAGAAATCAATATTAAAAAAAGGGTAAATTTGAAAATCTGTCAGTTTTAGACAGCATAAAATACGTCCATTAGTTCAAAAGTTATCGGATTGGGTCCATTACGTCATAAAAATACAGCATCCCCATCCCATACATACCCTCGTAGGTACTCAAATAAGTATGCCGGGAACAAACAAATCAAAATCAGGCATAACACGGTCATTTATTTAATTCATGAAGTAATCATTGACAGGGCGTTATAAAAGGAAGTAAAATATATCCCAGTATAATTGATCTTAAATACTAAAAGTTGACACAAAGTAAATATCAGACGGATCTTTTTAGTATGACGCCAATCTATTAGGGCAAAATTTCGGGCTAAATTAAACCGAAGGGCAAGTTTAAACCTATTCAAGAATGCCGTGCTGTTGTGCAATTGGCAGAAAAAACTCCGTCCACAATTATATTTCTAATATGTTTTTTTAAAAAAAGAATACTATTTTTAATACTTTTTTTAATCTTAGGCAAAATTTTTGATACATTTTGCAAATTTTTGTATTTCTGCAAGGAGAGAGGCGGAAGGACAGAAAATAAGCAGCTTCAAATTACTTACTTATAACTGTAATGTGTGTTTGTTTTGTTTTTTAATTGTGTTTTTTCTTCTTTTTTTCAGAAAACAACCAGTAAACAACGTTTTTTTTTAAAACTTGTTTTCGAATACGTTGAACTTTTCTTCGTCACAAGACAACGGATAAATATCGGTTTTATATCATAATGAACCCTCGTTAGTCTTGATTTGGGCTGAAGTGAAACAATTCAGCCCAAATCAAGACTAAAGAGGGTTCATTATGATATAAAACCGATATTTATTCGTTGTCTTGTGACGAAGAAAAGTTCAACATATTCGAAAACAAGTATTTAAAAAACGTTGTTTTCGGGTTTTTAAGGAAAATTCAAATTGATTAAAAGTGACTCCAAAGACTAAACTTAGTTTGACAAAATAGAAGACAAAGTTTTCGATAAACTACAGAAAGTTTGTGCATTTTACCTTTTAATTGATTCTTCAGATTTGAAAAAAAATGGAATATTTAATTTTTGAACAAAAGTTGAAAACTTCAGCATTTTGAATGAAAAACTCGCGAATACACTTCACTTAATGCCTTATCTCTTAAAATTCAAGTGTCATCTCATTGGTAAAACAGTTAGAATAAAACAATTTTTATGCTACATTAAAAAACTGGTGCATCAAAAAATGTTTAGGCAAAGTTTGATAGCTACAATAGTTTAGAACACCAATAAAAAGGCGGGTTTTGCATTTAAACTTAAAAAGCTGAAATATTTGATGCACATCATATTGATGCGCAATAGTTTTCTAACTAACTTGAAGGTTTACGAAGAAGGAAACATTATGTAAAATTTCATCAATCAGCTTCTGATAGAAAAATAAATGAAGCTGGCTACAAAATTTGTTAAATAGTTTACAAATAAAGAATAAGTCAACATAAAATTTGTTTCGATTAACCTTAGAAAAAAAACTTCGAAAATAAGTATTCCAAGAAAAAGTAAAGCAAAACATAGCCAACAGGCAGTTGCAAAAGTGTCAATTAACGCAAGTAAAAAAATACTTTTGACTTTCAAATTTTAAAGAGAAAAATTAGATACCTTTAGAGCTCTTTGAAATTCCAGAACAACCCATTATTGGCATTTAAAAAAAATTAACCCAACTCGAAAAAGCTGGATCAATAAATATAAGTCAAACCGCGAAAAATCAAATTCAAACCGCGACTTTTATCTGAAAAAAAATCAACCAGACCTATATAAGAGTAAATACTACATTCTTTAATCTTAAAAACAATGTATAAAAAGATGAGGTTTCGTAATTACAAATTATAGGAACGATTCAAAACTTTTCATTTATAGCAAAGTTTACCTCTACACTAAATATGCAAAAACGGTACCTCGAACTTAATTTACCATTGAACTTAGTTGAGTAAATGATTGAGTGATTTTGTTATACAAATTTTTACCCAAAAAAGACAATATTCCGAAATGATATGAAATGATATTCCGAAATGATGAAAAGAGTTCACTTGTCCTCGCATTGGTAAAACAGCTAGGTCAAAAAAATTTTTATGTTCTATTAAAAAAAAGAGGCATCAAAAACTGTTAAAGAAAAGTTTGATAGCTACAATATCTTAGAACATCTGCCAAAAAGCAGTTTTGCATTGAAACTTTAAAAGTTGAAATAATATATGCCAATCAAATGGATGCGCAAAACTTTTCTTTTTAAGTCGATGGGTTTATAACAATTGAAACATTACGTTTATTCTCATCAACCATCTTTTGATAAAAAAAAACAAATAAAGCTGGCAATAAAATTTGTTAAATTATTTTAACAAAAAAGAATAAGTAAACGTAAAACTTGTTTCGTTCAACCTTAAAAAAACTTCAGAATAAATGTTCCCAGAAATAAATAGAGCAAAACATAGCCAACAGTCAGTTGGAAAGGAGTCAATTGACGCAAGTAAAAAAAAGTACAGACTTGTTTTTAGAAAAAACCACAACTTTCGAACTTCAAAGAGAAAAATTTTATACCTTTAAAGCTCTTTGAATTTCCAGAAAAACTCATGATTGGCTTTTTTTGATAAAATTAACTCAATTTGAAAAATAAACTAGAAGTTTTTTGTGACTTTAACTTTTTTGCTTTTTGATAGTGGGGTTTTATGTTTTTCTGAAGTTAAAAAACTTGAACTTAAAGAATCAAAGGTCGAGAAAGTAGTTTTAGGCCTGAACAAATCTTAAGACTTTTCCTGAAGAAAAACAAAAAAAGAACTCTATATAAGAGTCTGAACTGCGGTCATTGATTCTTAACAACTGTAAGCTTAGCAGTAAGAACTTTTTTTGCTGAGAAAGTAACCACTCCGCAACTATATTTTCGACTTGACTCTTCGTGTTACAACAAAAGATGTGGACATTTGAAGTCATTTTTGTTTTCATATACTTTATTTTAGTCCCTAAATGACGAAAAATTATTCAGTTTTGATTTGAAAGAATCAAAAAAGTTGCTGATAGTGTTTTTGAAATGTTATATGATACTTTTTGGCTATCTTGCTGCTTCAACCCTCCAGTAAAGAGGATGGGAGCGAGTTGTTTTTTTTTTCGCCCAGTCTTAGATACCTAGAAACAAGCTTGTGCGATATCAATTGGAGCAGCAATTTTTGCAGATTTTACCTGTTTATCCTCTCTTAAAGTCTAACAAAAACATTTTGAACTAAAACGATCAATTTAAATTATTTTGCTTGGAACATGATTTGCTACCCTGGCTGATTCTACAACATCGAAGGTAAGGATCAAAATTATGGAGTCTTCTTTCGTCTAATTTTGAGAATCTCAAAGAAAGCATTAGAACGCCAAGTGTGGCATCTTTTTAAAGTCTTTTCAGCGGTGATTTGGATTCCAAAAAAAATCACAAGTTTGTTTAAATGTTGAGAAAAAAAGATCCGAACTTCTTCAATTTTTTAAATTAAAATTGGAAAAAATTATACTCAATTTTCTAAGCTTTTGCTAAAAATGTCTCTCATACTGCAATTTGTTAGCTATTCAATGCCCTTTAACAAAAGAATCAATCACATTTTAGAAAAAAAAACGTTCAGAAAAAAAATCCCGAAAAAGGTTTTTGAATTTTGTTTTGATTTTTCCCCAAATGTTTGAATTTCTTTTAAAAAGCAGATTTACAACGCCGTTGTAACGCTTAATACAGCTAAAATTCCAAAATTCTTGAAAATTGAACTACGCGAAGAAAAGTTATATCACGAAATTGAGATGTGTCGGGGAATTGCAACCGGCTATCCATGTTGTTTATCAACGATTGAAGCAGTTTTTCCGACCATTTGAAAAATATGGAAGAACTTTGTATTCAGGAATGTTTTAGTTTTTCTTTCTGTTTTTTTTCACGCAAAATCAGTTAAAACAAACAATCATCTAAATGGGCCGAGTGATATACCAAAGTGAAGCCCTTTCAGTCGTGATTTGAACGACAATAAAAATTTTTAACAGCTTAACAGTATCGAGAAAAACTGGTTCAAATTTTTTGATTTTTATTTCAATTTCGAGCTGATTTATGCTTAACTCAAACAATGAAAACTTAGTTTTAAGCAAGTATAATTGGTTCTTAGAGTTTTTAGGGCCATTTTGGGAATCAAAAACTTCAAAAAAATTCAAAAACTTAGCAGAAAAAATTTCACTTATTTTAAAAACATTTTTTTTCTATTTTTTTTAAGATTATGGTCGGAACACTCTGTGCTAATTGCACAGTAACCGGCTATCCTTGTTTGAATGTGGTAACTTTCGAGTTTCGTACCAGCAGGAGATGATGTTCATGTAGTTCATGATGTGTGGGTTGAAGAACATCAGTGTAACATATACGATGTAGAGAGAGAACAGACCGGCTGCCTCCCACACTTCAATCTGTCCGTCCCAGCAGAACACAATGAAGCAGATGATGGAGAGCGAGTAGAACAGAGCGTCTCGGCTAAGTGGGCGCCAGTCAATGTGCAACACCTAGCAGAAGCATACACAGGATGTACGCATGCAGCCAGCATGTGTTATAAAGGTTCAAGTAGCCGAGCATTCAAATAGCAGATACAAATTTCAAAAATAAAGTTAACGGAAGCGCGCGCCGAAAACACGCATTGTTTTTATCTATTTTTTTAACTAAAAATTGCTCAAAACGTCTTTTTTTGTCAAAAATTTGCCCTATCTGGTGAAATCATGCTTAAAAGAATTTTTGTACCAAGTGAACAATGTCCTCCCTAAATCAATTGTTCACTTGTGGAAGATTGTTCACTAGGCTAAAAGTAACATTTTTCAGCCAAACAGATGTAAGCATAAGTTCATGCAGGACTTGCGGCTTCAATTTGACATTCATTTAGGGGGGGGGGGGGTGATTGTTCCTTTGGTCTATTACGGGGATATATTAGTCACATGGGCCGAATTTTGGTCCATGTGAATAATCCCCTCCCTGAATAGACCAATTGAACAATCTCGCCCCTAAAATTAAATGACAAATTCAAGCAGTAAGGCCTGCATGTACTGCGTTCAAATCTGATTGGCTGAAAAATATTAATTTCAACTAATTGACTGATCACCTCCCTAAATTGATTTGGGGGGAGATTGTTCACTTGATGCCAAATTTTCAGCCAGTCGTCTACCTTTCCGGCAAGAGCGGCAGACAGGGCGATGATTATGAGGAGGTTGAAGATTGCACTTCCGACTATGGTCCCAATGCCCACATCGCTCTTCACGAAAACCCCCGAGAGAGACGTGAACAACTCGGGTGCGGAGGAGCCGGCTGCCATGAAAGTCGCCCCCGCCACATCTTCTGTCAAGTTTAGTCTGTCGGAAATCTCCTCCAACGAGGGCACGAAGAAATCGTCACAGATGATGGCAAGCGCTGAAGAAAAAGGAAGTTCACAATTTATTCACGATGAGGACGAATCCCCAGTGTTCTAGGAATGCAAAGCTTGCAAGATAACTTGCAAGGAAGTACAAAATTCTTGTTTTTTTTCTTGCAAGATTCTTGCAAGATTTGCATTCATTTTTCAAGGTACTTGCTTCAATTTGAAAGAGTCTTGCAATATTTGCATTCCAAGTACACTAAGGATGGTTGATGACAAGCAGCATGACAATTCTTTTGTGACAGTTTTTTCCGGGAGAATATCGGATTTTCGGTTTAATTCTAAAAATATGCCCCCGCCAACCCTCCTCGACGCCCCCCCTCCCCCCCGAAAATCGTTGATCCGCAACTGTAACTCAGTTGACTCAAAAGTTTCCAGGAGTTGCGGTTCTTGAAAGAGCGAGACTGTTAGACAATTTTTAACATATATTTTTTCAACGATTTGATGTAGTAGGGGTAAATTAATGTGGGAGACGTTCTGTAGTAGTATACCAACAACCTTTTATTGTAAATCCCCTCTTGCCTTTGTTTTTAAGTAACCATGGTCAATTCAAATCAGTTGCTGCCAAATTCTACTTTTTACCAAATAGTCAAAATAGCCTTCAAGCAAAAATTTGCAAAACGACATTATTTTCGTTTTTTAAAAATAATTATTTCTTACATCAAGTGAAATTAGTGTGGAAAAACTGCGCTTTAATTTCAGAAGAATCAAACAATAATCAAAGTCATTTTTCAGGTAATTAATTTTTATGCAATGTAGACATCTAATGATATGGTAGCTTTGAAGGAGTCTTATTTTATAGTTACTTTGATAACATTTATTCTGCAAAAATGTTTTCTTTGAGCCAAATTTGTTTGCGTTGCGATTAACGCAAATTGGTACATAAAACACAAGCTTGAGGTAATCAGCCCCAGGCATTGTACACCAAACCAAAAGTCTGGGCGGCAATAAAGGCGCACAATTGAATGCAAATTTTTTCAGAGAAATTTAAATTTCGTTTTATACTTTTTACTGTATATAAAAAACGTTATATCTAGCTTTTCTCTGCAGTTAATTTCCTTGAGATTTAAATTTTATAGATTCATTTGGTAACTTCCCAAATGGCATAATTCCCAAATGGCATAAAAATGGAAACTTTTCAAAAATGGCATAAATTTCATTGTTATTTAAACGTTTTCTATCAATTTCTATTTCTATCATTTTGTCAGGAACGAAAGCATGTAAACAAGATTTGGAACTAATTGCTTCCAAACAAATTTAAGCAACAGATTTGTCGTAAAAATTGACCACAAGAAGCTTGTTAATAATCGCAAGCTTCTGCTTCTTGCTTTTGACAAAAAGTTCTACAAGTTTTTCACGATAAAATTCCAATCAACATTTGAATTGACAATTTGACTAATTTTCTCACATTTTTCACGAAAAAATTGTTCTCGATTTTTCCAAAGCACCTGTTGCATGAAATTTATGCCTTTTGGGAAATTTTTCATTTTTATGCCATTTGGGAATTATACCATTTGAGACGTAATCATTCAATTTTATAAATGCTGTGTAAATTGAGCAGAAAGGTTTTTTCGAACAATTTTAGTTCAAAAACTTAAACAAGATTGTTCATGTCAGGGGAAGGCCTTGAATTTTACTAGTGCCATTTGGACGTTTGAAGTAAAATTAGGTTAAAATTATTAATTATCGTTGTAAAACAACCATACAAAATGTTTAGAATTTTTTTCCCCAAAATGTAAGGTAGAGTAGACAAGGGATAGTGTTTGCATCTATCAACAAATTTTTCACAGCAACCACCGGGCGTCAACATATTTTGAAGATTTTCACACCTGGAAGATTTTTACCACATTTGCTACGCACTAAAAACAAGGCTGCTCGAAAGCCTTGAATGTTCCGATTGCTCATTGACTGGTCTTGAATATTGCTTAATTGATGAAGTACTGACAAACTATGAAACTTAGGCTAATTGTATCAAATTGGAAGTATAAAAACTTGAGTCGTTCATGGAATTAATAAGATCAATTAGATTGCCGCGTTACACTTTCAGCATTAAAGTATAGAACGAGCAGTTTTGACAGACTCTGGTTATGTTAAAAAAGTGATGAGCAATATCAGCAAGATCCAGTGATTAATCCCACGAGAAAAAAATTACTTTGAGCAAAAGCCGGAATAACAAATTGGAAGTTTCAAATGCTTTAATTGTCCCAAATTGTCCAATGCTTTAATTGTCCCAAATTGTCCAATTTTTTAGCAGAAAAGAAAAAAGTTAAAAAAGATAATGAAGTGAAACAAAGTATTAACCAAGTAGAATAATCACGTACACGATATAATCTGGCTAACTATTCCCCCACTGAAAAAACCCACCAACATTTACTTAGCCAAATTTATTCGCTCAGCAATAAATTTTATTCATTATATTTTAAAAACCATGAAGTTGAAAACTCGCGGTTTTTTATCAATACAAAAAAGCTATAGAGCTATTACAATTTTTTTTCACTAAATGATGTACAGGTTTTTATAGGTTAGAATTATTCCGTTAAAGTCAAGATCATCCAGATTTACGTGATGCAAAAACTGATGAAGCGAAAACGAAAAACTTTTTCAGCTTATTTTTTTAAATCAAAAAAGCCATTTTCAAGTAAATTCTTTTTCTCGCGGTCAGCAAAATTGTTAATTAACTAAAAATTAAAATTAAAATTTTGAGATTACAAAGTTATTCCATATACATTTACAAACCGTGTGATTACCAAATTAGCAAGGCCCAGAAATTGAAAATATTAGCATTTAATGAAGCATTAGAAAGCTTTTTTTGCTTTAAATTTTTGGCTTTAAAACTTTTTGGTGCAGGAAAAATAATATACACTTTTTCGTTTTCAAATTATTAAAATCAATATCTTAGAAAAACCTCTGCCTGATTAAAATCAAAATCTTATATGATAGTAGATCATACTAAGAGAAGGCAAAAATGCTGAGAAGTGTGCCTTTTTTACTGCTACGTCCTGACTGACTTATTTGATATCACTGTTGAAAAAAAATTAATTATAAAAAGCTCGTTCAGCTTGCTGTTAAGAATATAATCAGCGCTTTAGTTCAAATCTCGTCGACTTTATTTTGTGTAAGTACATCTCAATCTGTAATTGAAACGATCCAAGAGCGGATTTAGGGGGAGGGGCGGAACGCCACATTCAGGGGTTCGACCCCCTCACCAACCAATGGCCCCCCTTTTTGGTATTATGTCTTGACATCCATTTTAGGCCAACAAATCCTAAATTTTTTTCTAATGCCGCCTTTGGCGCTTATATATACTTATTTTAAGGGGCAGGTCGAAATTTTTTTTGGTCAAAATTTTCCAAAAAGTGTCCAAAAACGGGGAAACGTTGAGAAACTTTGGCCTAGCAGACAAAATTTCAATTATGGGAAAATTTGGTCTAGCAAACGAAATTTCATTGATGAAATTTGATTCAAAAAGCAGTAATTTATAAAGCTAAGAAAAAGATTCTCCCAGTTAAGTAACCTAACAATAAATGATCTTTTTATAATCTAACCAAAGTTAGCCATCCGTTAAAAATTAAAAAAAAACGGAAATAGCAAGGGGGTGAGGAGGGTTATTTGCCCATTCCCTGCCCAGGAACTGAAAAAGTCGGCCACCTGACAATCCAAAGGGCCCGTGGGCAGGGCTACCCTTTTATGTATCATTTATGGTATCATTTCGTACTATTTTATGACTTCTAGTTTTATTCGAGCTATTTAAAAACTTGGGGGAGAGCGCGTGCGAAAAACATCAATTTTTCGTCAAAAAAATCCAAAAATTCAGTAAAATATTGTTTTTTTTTGGTTTTTTACTATCGGATAATCAATTTATTCGAGCTATAAATTTCAAAAAATGATAACCCCCACTCTATAAAAGCCGGGATAACTTAGATAAGCCCCTGATTACGAAGTTTGAGTCTAATATTGATTGTATACTCAATCATAGACATGGAAAAAATGTTCACAATTTTTCCAATTAATATCAGATCTAAACTGACCAATGAAAAGCCAGAAGGTGAGGAGGGCCCAGAGGAGGAGCCACAAGTAAGTAAACTGGCTGTCCTTTTCCAGAGAGCACGACTCCCACGGCAGTTTGGCATCCTCGTCCTCTGAAGAGTGTGAACTGTTTTGGTCTGCTGGTGTTTCTGAGAGGAGGTGGCGACTGCTGTATGAGAGGGATCCAATTGGCTGGTCGGCTGAAAGGTTAGCGAGCGGGTTGTTCTCCTGGAAACCTCCTGAAAAAAAAATATAATTAAAAAGATTTTATATTTTCAAGAAAAAAAAACAATTCTTGGTTTTATTCTGATTATTGTTACAATTCTAATTAAAGTTTTAGTAATTCTTTTTAAGGTATTTTGCAGACCACCTAGAAAAAATTATAATTAAAAAGGATTTTATATTTTCAAATTTGTGCTTTTTTTGCTTGTGTAGGGAGAAAAACTGAAAAAAAGCTAGAAACACATCTGTAAAATTTTTGCTGAAGTTATATTCAAAATGTTCAGGGCTTTGCTCTGATGCGAGCAGTCTTTTTGTTCCCTCTTTCGAAGAAAAAAAGGACTATATGTACTCGGGGTTGTTTTGTTTATATTCAGACTTATTTTACAAAAAAAGTTGACGGCGTGAGGTATTGATACAAAAATCTTCGGATTGCCAAGCGAAGGCTTTTGATCTAACTGTTTTCCATTGAAACCAGCGCAATCAACTCTTACTACGCAAACTATTTATGCATGGCAAATTAACCGTACTCATAACTGTTCAAAACTGAATTGGGGCAAACTTAATTGCATTAACTTGACTCAAATTCTGGCCCTGTTATATTTGATATTGGCAGTCCAAAATTTAGAGCTCAAATCGAGTCTAAATGTGGCGCAGTCGGAACATTCAGGCATCGCTCTGATTCCCAAGCAGTCTTGTAATTCTCTTTGTTCATTATGCTTGTGGAGGATGAAAATCTACAATAAATTTCAAAAAATAATAATCACTTCGAAATTTCATCAAATGTTAAATTTTTGAAAACTTTGCAGCAAATTAAAAGGAGCCAAACCTTTTGACGGAATGGTTAACGTTTATTCAGGCTTGGAACGCTTAAACAAACAGAACTTTATCAAATTTTATCCGATGCTGTTTTCAGAAAAAATTGCACAATAATTTTTTTTCGAATACCAAATTAATTGTTCACAATTTCCAAAACTGCTCGTATCAGGGCGAAGCCATGAATGTTCCGACTGCTAATCAATGTTTATGAAAAAATGAATAACATGAAAAAGTTAAATTAATAAAATAAAAAGAACAAATTTGTATTTAAGAATTGATTTTTTTTGTGAAAATTATTCCCCCACTCGCCATATAAAGTATACAGTACTAAGTGATAACTTTCGCTCTTATTAACAAATCATTTATGGCAAATAAGCTTCCTTCAACCACTTTGGAACGATTTCTAAGTCCGAGTAAAATCTCCGCTTATGCGTTAATAGCTCAAAATATATCGCGCGTTAATTTACCCAAATTGGCGAAAATGGCAAATTTTAAAATGACCAGGCCTATGAAGTAGTTTTTGCCTTCAAAAAAATCAAGAAGATTTGAAAGAAATGTAAAAATGTTCAAAATATTTTACACTTTTTTTGTTAAAAAATCATCCCCCACACGCTATGTAAAGTATAAAATAAAATATTTTGCATATAGACATTCTGTTTTACATTCTTGAGTACTTTTTCAATTTGATACCGGTAAATAGCATGCCTCAATTCAATTTGGAACCATTTCTAACACGGATTATATCGCTGCTTACGGTTATCAGCGCGAAATATTTCGCGTGTTAATTGTCCCAAAAATGCCGAAGTGGCAATCTTTAAATCCCCATAACTATATGAACAATAATCACAGGTGAAATACCTTCTCAAATTTAAGCTTAAGACAACAATACCTTTTGAGTGATAAAAAAAATCCGTCAAAAATGGCCAGTTAAAAAGTCTAGAAATTCCATCAAATTTCCGTCAAAATGGCTAGAAATTTGTCTGAAGAAAAAAAAACCACCCCGAGCACAAATTTTCCATTACTTTCGTTACGAAAGCAGGAACAAAAAGCGCTTACGGCTAGTCTGCCGTAACTGAAAGTCGGAAATAGTATACCAAAGTACAGCCTAAACTTAGGGTAAAATTGGAAATCAGATCCAATACTACTTAACTCATCTTCGCTTTTTGGAGTTCAATCAGCCTACCTGATAGCGTGTGTGCAGCTAGAAGAATGATGGCGATTAAGGAGAGGGTGACCCACAGTTTAACCTTTCGTTTCTTTTGTCTGTAGGCTAAATGGAACGATGTAGGCAACACATCCTTCTGATCATTGGCAGCACATACACCCGTAAGTATGGACTTCATCGGAGCGCTGGCTGAAATGGGGTGAAAGTTCAAATTTTGAAAACAAGTCGCGTACTTTTTTCTTTGAGGAAATCTTGGGACATTTTTTGTTCGTGATATTTGCTCTCAAGGAAGTTTTTGAAAGATTATTCAAAAAAGTAAAAAAAAAATTGTGAATCGAAAAATATTTGTTGGCTTTATTTAATAAAACAAAAAAAATACTTCAACGTTAGATTTTGTTTGCTCAATTTTTAAGGCGAGTGTAAAAAAATTGAATTGAAAACGAGAACAAATTGAGTTGAAGTTTTGAAATTGAACTACCTGTGGTGATGAATTTTGAACGGTAAGTTGTTCAGACGAGAAAGACAATTAGAGTGACGAGCGAACAACAATAAATGAGAATGTAACTGCAATTTTAAGTTAAACTGCAGAATCAAAAAAAAATAATTTTTGATGGTAAGAAGAAATGGTCGAGTAGTGTACTGCTTGCCGTTATTTATAATGAAGGGTTAAGACGGCAGTGCTGAATTTAAAGATGGGAGACTATTCCAAGTTCGTCCCGCATATTCGTCAAATTTCTATTCCCTGTATTCCATTTCCCTCGCCTGAAATACAATTTTTTTTTAAATCAGGACAACAATAATAGAATAAGAATGAAAACGGTTTTGAACAGAAAAACAACACAAATAATACATACAGGGAATCTGCTATTTTGTCGAACAAACAATTGTCAGTAAGGACTTTTGCAAAAAAAATCTATTTTTAAAAAGGAAATTGGTTAGTATTTAGCTATAAAATTTTTTCAAAACGTCAAAAATTACTCGTAGCAACTGGATTTTTATTTAAGAAAAAAGTGTGCGACGAACAAGCGGCAGTTTTAATGGGTTCTTAAAGAGATTAACCGGTATCAAATTGAAAAAGAACCCAAGAATGTAAAACAGAATGTCTTTTTGTTAATCGATATATATGATGAAATGAAAATGAAATACCATTAGGAACAGATTATTGTTCATTCGCGGGAGATTTAATGGAGAAAAAAGGCAGATATTTATGCTTCAAACGAAGCACAAAAGAGTAAAATGAATTGAAGAGAAAGACCCGCAGACAAGAGCGAAAAATATTTATTCGAACATTAATAAAACCCTGATTTATGAAAAAAGGTATTGTTGTTACTTGTAGGAGACTGCATAATTTTTCACCGTACCTTTGAAAAAACGGAATCTTTTGCAAAAAGCTGATTTGCAAAATAAGAGGAGCATTTTTTGTAGTATAATTCAATAATTAATAAGATTCATGTGTTTAAGGTCAAATCGGCCTTGCAAGGGACGCTTTTTGGGAAATCTGATCCTTCCATGGACAATTTGGTCCTATGGCCATGTTGAAATTTTATATGAAAGACGATAACAAGGAGACGCTTAAGTTTCAATTATAAATTGTTTTTTAATATTAGAATTGTATTAGAAATGTCGATAATTTCTTAATTTTTGACCACGCTTCATGAAGTGGCCGCCCTGGTCGATAAAATAAAGTTACCTGGAAAAATTTCGCAAAAGGTTTGCAAATGAAAGTTATCTTGTAGGAATCTTCCAACTTTATTGCAAGATCTTGCTATATAATTGCCTGTAAATTTTTTCCGATCAAAGGAAAATTACAACAAGAATAGCCGGTTACTGTGCGAGTAGCACAGATTGTTCAGACCATAGTCTTAAGAAATTACAATTTTTTCCAAGCTATTTGATCTGCTTGGAGTGATTAGCAGATCTGAACATAAAAATAGAAAACATTTTTTAGACAAATAAATAGAAAAACGAAAAAATTCAAAAAACTTTCAAATTTTTTTTTCAAAATTTTTTTGAAGAAATTTTTTTGAGTCTTGAAGTTTTGATTCCCAAATTGGCGCTTAGAAATTTTATAATATAACATTGCTTAGGAAAAATCAAATTTTCACAACTTATATTAAGCATAAAAAGCTATTGTAAGCCTGCACGCTCACCTTATTAGTTTGAGATAAGACCGAAAATCAAAAATTTTTGACTGTTTTTTTTTATCGACACTGCTGAAAAAATTCAAAAATAACGACCTTTTGTAAGATATATCACTCGATTTATTCCGGTGATTACTTGAGGCACCTGATTTTGCGAGGAAAATTAAAAGAAAAAATTACAGAAAAAAACTAAAACACACCCGCATACAAAGTTCCTCAACATTTTTCAAATGGTAGGAAAAATTTGATGAACGTCAAAAAACTTATGAGTTTAAGTTCAAAGAAAACAACAGGGATGACCATGTTCAAATCCGTTGCCTCTGTATAAATTTTTAGTTTCTTCTGTGAAAGGTTTCAGGTGGTGGTTAAAATATTTGTATTTTGATTCAAAGTTTTATGGTAACATTTTCCAGTTTCTTTTTGCAAATAAATCTCCTTAATCTCAGATACTTAGTAGATAAAAATAGTTTAGGTTCAATTACGTCCTTATTTTTTGATAGGTGGTGCAAATTAGCTTGTAATGTTTTTGCGTGTTACGTTTATATAGATATCATAAAAAGTTTAGTTATTTCATACAAAGTTTAACTTAGTTTTCATCCTGTTCACTTAATGCTTTTTGTATGCGATTATATAAGCATAAGAAAGCTATCAAATTCTACTTCCCAATTTCTCCAATCAAAGCGTACAGCGTTAGTCATCTCAACACAAGACTTTTTTTAAACAAAAAAGAATGGCAAATTGCACAAAGAAGGCAACCGCATAGCTGGCTGTGTGTTTTATGAAAAGTTGTCATTGCTACCTTCTTGCACAACCACTGAAAGATTGTCTTTGCCGGTGAATTTGTTATTTCCCACAAAAAATCAATTGTTTCAAAAAAGATTCAACAAAAAAATCTATAATTAAAACAGATTATCTAGCAAGATCATGCAAGATTCTAGTAAAATCTTGAAAAAAAAGATCCTTCTTGATAAAAAAGGGAAAGCAATGCAATCTAGTAGGTTTGTTCCTAACTGAGTTAGGGCACCTGCCCTCGCGTAATTGATTCAGTGCGTTATAACGCAAAAAACGTTTAAACTGAAACCTTGGCTGCAATTTTTGGTAGGTCGACAATTCGTAACAGGCGACACATCGTAACAGGCGACAATTTGTAACAAGCGACAATTCTCAACACGGCTTTGGCAAATAGCATAAGCGTGCTCCGCTGCGCTTAAATCAGGCACGAGAAGAATGGTGTGTATAAATTAGTTATTGCCCGCTAAATTATTGTTACGAATTACCGCCGGTTACGAATTGCCACCTGTTACGAATTGTCGTCTGTTACCAATTTTTGCTGTGTTAGTAAAAAAATTGCAATTATATCTATTTTGTACTCGTTTGCCATAAAGGAGCGATAAGAAAGAAAAAATTCGGCAAATTTTTTCGGAAGCTGATTTTACTACTTTTTTGTAAACCTGGTATCTTTTTTTGTCTATCCTACAAAAATGCAAAAACTTTAGAAAAGTTTTTTTTGTATTATTTTTTTGTGTTTAGATTCAATTTAATACTTCGTTGCAAATTTCTAACAAGCATTGAAGAATACGCGTCATATATGCCATTTAAACCATAGTAAAACAAACCATGCTAAAGATACGATTAGTCGGATTACTCAAATCTGAGAGCCAAGTGTAGTATTGCAAATTTGTTGACAATTACATGACGATTGAAGTGTTTAGAATGATAACAAATACCATATTAATGTATTTAAAAATCAACCAATGGCTGTGCAAGTAGCTCAGAACCTTCCGACAACTGTTAATTTGTTTAAACTGGTTATATTAAATTATTTTTAAGTTTTTTTTGTCGTTTTTCCCTACTTTTTGGTTTTTTTTTTCTAATGGGGATGCAAAGTTACAAAATTTGATTTTTGGTCTCTGTATCCAAACGTTATCCCTTAATCTTTAAATTTATTAGTAAAAAAAGCTCATAATGTCAAGTGAGTTAGCATTGCTTATGATGTTCAAAAAAAATAGATTGATTAGAGAGCGAGATTATTCATCACCTGAGGCAAACTTTTTGAAATTTCTTTCAAAAATCTGAACAACTTTTTGCTTTCGATTGTGCAAAATTGATATTGCTACCAAAGTTTCAAATTAGTCAGTGCCTGGAGCTATTTTGGGATGATGTGCAATATTGAATTCGTTGCATTTAATAGACACATATATACATGTCACTTTCTTGATGGGGCTGCTGTTCCTTGTTCTCCATATTTTTTGGTGCCCGAAGCAAAATGAACCCCAGCCTGTGATTGATATAAAATGAATGTAGAATTAAATTAAAATCTGCGGCAGCGTGCTGTTTTAACCCCAAGAGACATTGGTGGAGCTTTTTCAGGTATATAATTTACCCTAGCGATTACCGAACATGTGTCTCATCATTTCCACATTTGTTAAAATCTGAAAAAAAATTGCACAAAATATGTTCCAAAAAATTTGGACCATTTTCCTCTCCCTTAAATAAACAAAATGATACAAAGCGAATGCAATAATGGTTTTTAATATCAATTTGACTTATATGTACTTGTTCAACCGAAGACAATGAAAAACGAAACTAGCAGAAAACAGTTAGAAGTTAAGTAGGTCAAAGCCATGAAAATTTAAACTCTAATGTCAAGGGAATTTTTTCAGACCATTTTCGGTTTTCGAAAAAAACGCACATTGAAGTTCTTCTGACCTCTTGTTCCAAAGTTAAATGATTTTCTGTTTAATCGACACTAATTGATGGAAGACTTTTTACCATTTCCTATGCAAAACGCGTTAAGAAGCTAATTAATCCGGCCCAAAGTCATTCCATGACATTACAAGCATGGTGTTACAATTTTCGAACAAGGTACAAGAAAATTGTTCAAATAGAAAAATTAAATAGAAAATGAAAATGAAAATTGAAAGAAATGATATTGAAAAAAAATATTTAAAAGTTTTTTCTTCTAATTAAAACAAAGTTGCTTCAAAACACACAAGACTGCTCGTATCAGGGCGAAACCCTGAATCTTCCCACTGCGTTTTAAAGTCTGTGGAGCGGTAATGACAAGAAAAATTTAAATTTAATGAAATTTAAAAATATATTTTAAAAAAATTAACATCACCCAACACGCGATATAAAGTACAAAAGGATAGATTTGCTCCTGTTAACATACCAATTATGGCAAATAAACTTCCTACAACAAATTTGGAACGGTTTATTAGACGGATTAACTCTCCACTTTCGCGTTAATAGCGGGAAATACATCGCGAGTTAATTGTCCCAAATTGGCCAAAATGGCAATCTTTAAACCCAATAACTTTACCAAAAATGATCACAGGTAAAATATCTTCTCAAATTTAAGCTCAGGACAACAAATAACTTTCGAATGATTTTTTAAAAAATCCGTCAAAAATGACTAAATGCAAAAACAGCTGTTCTATATTTAAGATGAATTTGGAAAAAAAAATTAATAACGGTATGTCACAGTCGGAAACTGTCGCAGGATAAAACCACTCCGAGTTGCTACAAAAAAAACAAATTTTTCTATCATTCGGAGAAAGTGACCGAGTTTTTACGCTTGGGTTGAAATACTTTTATTCAAACTTCTCAGAATGTCGACTT